CAATTCCCACCACACCCTTTGGGGGAACAAGGCATGCAATAAAAGGGGAGAGGAGCTTCTTGACTTTCTCTCCTCCCTAGGGCTGTCATGTGCCAACAAAGGATCATCCCCAACCTTCCTCAACTCTCGAGGCCACAACTCAATTATCGATCTCACAATAACAAACCAGTTGGGAGGAGATCTCATTAGTAACTGGCATGTTAGTGACCTTTACTCCAACTCTGACCATCGCTATATTATGTTCGATATAACTACAGGGCCAAAGAAGGAACCCAAACAGATCCGACTAGTCAAAAACACTGACTGGGACAGATTTGATGAGATCCTATCGAATAACCCCAACCTTAACAACACACAAATCAACACTACGACTGAAATTGATCACAAAATAGACATAATCAATACTGCACTAAAGGAAGCCTTCGAGGAGGCATGCCCCATTACTTACATCTCAAGTTCCGTCCGCAAACCCCCCTGGCTAACTCAAGAAGTAGAGGAAGCACAGAGGGGAATAAGACAAAAACTGATTACTGCCCGCAAAAAGAAGACTGATGCCCTGTGGCTCGCTCTTAGAGAGAGCAACAAACAATACAACAGACTTATAACCAACTCCCAGCGTAATGCCTGGAGAACTTTTTGTCAGGAAACAGAGTCTGTTAAGGAATCCGGAAGGATGAATAAGATTCTGAAATCCTGTAACGACAACAAACATACACTAGAAGCCGTTTACAAACCAAACGGAGACATCACCAAAAATGCAGAGGAGACATTGGAGGTCATGACACGAACCCACTTCAAGGATAGTGTCACTGATCCGCCAGTGCCTCCACCTGGTCCTCTACCAATCACCACCACCTTACTCAATACCATCTACAGCCCAGACAGAATCGAGGAGGCTCTTAAATCCTTCGATCCGTTGAAAGCTGCTGGACCCGACACCCTCAAACCTATCATCATACAGAAAGCTTGGACACACATCAAAGACATCACCAGAACCATTATGACAAAAAATCATGAAACCCAACACATTCCAACTTTGTGGAAAGAATCCCTTGGAATCTTTCTCCCAAAGCCTGGAAAAACTGACTACAACCAACCAAAGTCATTTCGCACTATCACCCTTTCTCCAGTGATGTTAAAACTACAGGAGAAGGTGATACTGTGGCATATGCAACACGACCTTAATATCGCTAAAGACATCAACAAACGACAATTTGGCTTTAAGAAAGGATGTTCAACCGAAGCAGCCCTTCATAAAGTTACTCACACCATCGAGCGCAGGATAGCTAAGAAGGGATATGTCCTAGGCGTCTTTCTAGATATAGAGGGAGCTTTTGATAATGTCTCTTTCAAGGCTATTTCTGACGCTATCAAGACCACGAAAGTGGATCTGGCCACAGCACAATGGATTATCAACATGGTAACTAACAGATTCATCACATTAAATCATAAGGATAAGTCGACAAGGGTTCGGATCCGGAGAGGGTGCCCTCAAGGTGGCATCCTTTCCCCTTTCCTCTGGAACCTGGTAGTCGATGATCTCCTGGCCTACACCGCAAGAGACATACCAGGTTATCTGCAAGCTTTTGCAGACGATCTGCTCTCTCTAGCGGAGGGGAATGATTTAGACATCATCTGGAACAGAACACGCAAAACCATCAACACAATAGAAAAATGGTGCCAAACCAAAGATCTATCCATAAGCGCACTCAAAACACAAATAGTCATGTTTACCTGGAATAAGAAATGGACACTAAGACCTGTGGTGGTGGGTAACACCACCATAGGTCTATCCAAATCTGCCAAATTCCTAGGAGTGACCCTCGACAGCAAGCTCAATTTCAATGAACATATCACCAATACCACCAAAAAAGCTACGGCATCCCTTATGCAATGTAGAAGAGCTGTCGGCCCCACTTGGGGTATGAGCCCTAAAACATGCAAATGGATGTACACCGCTGTCATCAGACCTATTCTATCATACTGCTGTAGTATATGGATTAGAGCAACCCAAAAAGACACCAACGCGAGGAAGTTCAAACGAGTTCAGGCATTGGCATTGAGAATGATGTCTGGTGCCATGCCTAGTACTCCCTTCATCGCACTGAACCACCTCACTAACACTCCAGATATCATACTTTTCCTGAGAGGTGAAGCAGCAAAGGGCACAGCCAGGCTTCAAGCTTATGGAAGCCTAACCCTCGAAACTATCGCCCCCAGAAAAGGTACCATCACAACTCACACCACTATCAACAAACAATTCATGGTAGATCTCAACATACCACCCAAAGCAGAGAGAGACCTATCTATACCAACCATGATGCTTGAACGACGCTTCACGGTCACCACTCCTGGAGCTGACAACATTGGTTATAGAGGCTCACTCCAAAACACCATCGACAACATCCCCAGTGAAACCATCACCTGCTACACAGACGGGTCACGCACAGACTCAGGTAGCGGGGCTGGTTATATTATCACCACAGACAACAACAACACTACACTAGATGAAAGATCATTCAAGCTTCCCGATTATTGCACCGTTTATCAAACAGAACTCACTGCCATCATCGAAGCTTGTAAATATCTATCAACTTATACAAACACACACATCATCATATGGTCAGACAGTCTCTCCTCTATTCAAGCCATATCCTCACCTTCAACGAGGAGTAGGACTACTAGAGACTGTTACGACACCCTCAATACACTCGGATCCACTAACACCTTAGAGATCAGATGGATAGCTGCACACATTGGATTGTGGGGTAATGAAAAAGCAGACGAGCTGGCCAAAAATGGTACAACCAGTGAATCCACTTTGAATTGCCCAATTCCACAATCTTACATCAAACGCCTGATCAACGACAAAGTCACAAAACTTAATCAAGAATCATGGATTACTGATGGTCCCAGACACACTAAACTGACACTTGGACATAAAAACATCAACATCATCAAAAATCTCAACACTACACTCAGTAACAACAGACAAAATTATAGAACTGCAGTGCACCTCATCACGGGACATTGTGGCCTCAACAAACACCTACACACCATTCGCAAATCAGACACAAGTGCTTGTCCTAAATGCGGCGACGAAGAGGAGACTGTCTCACACTTTCTCGGACAGTGCCCGGCTATTGCCCAAATAAGAGGTCAATATTTCCGGGACTACTACCTCTCTGTCAATGACATATTCGACAACCAACACATCTCCACCATTGTCAACTTTACAAACCACACTAAACGCTTAGTGGTGCCAGAGGAGTTGGACCAGACAGGTGTAACATAGCGACTACTTTAACGCCGTCTCATTTCGCCTCTCTCTTCCACACTCAACCACCACTTAAGCGTTTATCTATGACACACCCCACAACACTTACCATCATCCTTGATTACACATCTTGATTCCACTGGCATCCTCCCACAGGACTGCCATACCCCAGAGGTAGGCAAAGCATTCATATGCTATCCTCTCGTGGGCCAACCAGGCCCAGCCTCTCTAAAAAAAAAAAAAAAAAAAAAATCCAGATAGTTGCTACCTCCTATTAAAGTATTAATAATACTCTATCCAGATAGTTGCTACCTCCTATTAAAGTATTAACAGTACTCTATCCAGATAGTTGCTACCTCCTATTAAAGTATTAACAGTACTCTATCCAGATAGTTGCTACCTCCTATTAAAGTATTAATAATACTCTATCCAGATAGTTGCTACCTCCTATTAAAGTATTAATAATACTCTATCCAGATAGTTGCTACCTCCTATTAAAGTATTAACAGTACTCTATCCAGATAGTTGCTACCTCCTATTAAAGTATTAACAGTACTCTATCCAGATAGTTGCTACCTCCTATTAAAGTATTATCAGTACTCTATCCAGATAGTTGCTACCTCCTATTAAAGTATTAACAGTACTCTATCCAGATAGTTGCTACCTCCTATTAAAGTATTAACAGTACTCTATCCAGATAGTTGCTACCTCCTATTAAAGTATTAACAGTACTCTATCCAGATAGTTGCTACCTCCTATTAAAGTATTATCAGTACTCTATCCAGATAGTTGCTACCTCCTATTAAAGTATTATCAGTACTCTATCCAGATAGTTGCTACCTCCTATTAAAGTATTAACAGTACTCTATCCAGATAGTTGCTACCTCCTATTAAAGTATTATCAGTACTCTATCCAGATAGTTGCTACCTCCTATTAAAGTATTAACAGTACTCTATCCAGATAGTTGCTACCTCCTATTAAAGTATTATCAGTACTCTATCCAGATAGTTGCTACCTCCTATTAAAGTATTATCAGTACTCTATCCAGATAGTTGCTACCTCCTTTTAAAGTATTAACAGTACTCTATCCAGATAGTTGCTACCTCCTATTAAAGTATTATCAGTACTCTATCCAGATAGTTGCTACCTCCTATTAAAGTATTATCAGTACTCTATCCAGATAGTTGCTACCTCCTATTAAAGTATTATCAGTACTCTATCCAGATAGTTGCTACCTCCTATTAAAGTATTATCAGTACTCTATCCAGATAGTTGCTACCTCCTATTAAAGTATTATCAGTACTCTATCCAGATAGTTGCTACCTCCTATTAAAGTATTAATAATACTCTATCCAGATAGTTGCTACCTCCTATTAAAGTATTAACAGTACTCTATCCAGATAGTTGCTACCTCCTATTAAAGTATTATCAGTACTCTATCCAGATAGTTGCTACCTCCTATTAAAGTATTAACAGTACTCTATCCAGATAGTTGCTACCTCCTATTAAAGTATTAACAGTACTCTATCCAGATAGTTGCTACCTCCTATTAAAGTATTAACAGTACTCTATCCAGATAGTTGCTACCTCCTATTAAAGTATTATCAGTACTCTATCCAGATAGTTGCTACCTCCTATTAAAGTATTAACAGTACTCTATCATTCCCTTCACATATAGCTGATAGAAGCATTTTTTTAAATCGAGTAATTTTATTTTATTGCTGTGTAAATCCTATTTATCTTAAATTATAATGCTAATAGTTCTAACCTAGAGTGAACATGACAACTGACGAGGTAGTGTTTGCTTTTGTCTGGAACCTGGACTGTCGAGTCCCATCCACCGCCAAAGATGCTGCTCCCTGCCGGACTGTTATCCTGAGTTTGAACTGACGCAGTGCCTTTTGATCATCGTTAAGTTGAACGGAAGTGCTTTGTTTTTCAAGTGTTCTCACTCCTTGTTTGTAACTGCCGTAACGGAATCGGAGCAGATTATTACTTCGTTCATGTCGTACAAAAAGGAAGTCCGCTTCCGTCTCCACGTCTACGTAATTAAATGCAATCCCAACATGAGAAACATCTTTCCCTGTAGGATCAAACTCAACGTCTGTCTCGAAGTAGTATTCTCTGTTCCAAACGAAATCTTGTACTTCTTCTGCCTTTTCATAGTCATGCGGAAACCGAGCACATATGTCTAAAATATTGTCGTGATCCAACTCGCAAATCTTCCGACTGGTCCTTGTTTCATTGCTCCAAATTCCATCACTTAATCCTTCCACGCACGTAAAGGTTTCAATCTCATCTTTATAAGAAGTATCCCTATTTCCACATCTCGGTGATGTGAGAACTTTGTTTTGTGTCTCTGTTAACTCTCCTGTCTCTGGGAAACCGTTGTACTTCTGGAATGCTTTGATGGATTCTATCATCTCTTCTTCGTCTACTGTCACTGTTTCTAACACAGTGAGGTCAGTTTGATATGAATCCGATTTTTTCTTCTTTTTTTTGTCATTTTTGCTGATGCCAACGTCTACAAATCCGTTGTAGGTCAAGAAACCGAACAAATTAGATTCGTTCCTCTTTGACTCATACTGAGTTGCCTTTTCTTTAAACTTTTTGATGGGAACCTTTGTACCCTTAAACTTTGGTTTATATGTCTTCACTTTTTTCTCATCCGACATAATATTTATATTTGTCTTCTCTTTAAACTTGAGTATATTTTGCTCAATAGCCTCTTCGAGCTCCATGACGTCTTTGTAGTCAGTTGGTTCTTCTTCTTCATCAACAGCTTCTCCAGATTCAGTGATCTTTTTAGGAGGAGGCTTTTGTGTGGCATCTTCATCCTGCTGATTCGGCTTTAACTCATCTGGCACTTCGTATTCTACATATTGGATAGATTCAATGGAACTCCCCCCGTCTGCCTTTAGATAGATACCGTACTTAGGTGCGCCATCTGAAAGGTCTGAATCTGCGATAACATTATCAGTTACATGGTAGGTTCGCCCATTATCTGAAGTCATAACAACTGCACGATTAGTTAAGACACCGATAATTTTGAAACTTTTCACTTGGAATACGTTCCACTGTTCTCCGAGCCTCAGTTTCTCACTCACACAATCTCTAAATTCGGGCTGCTTGCACAGATACATGGTTACTTTCTCTTGCGGTTCGTCCGTTCCCTGCTCTGGTATTTCCGTAAAAACAGGTTCCTCAGTTCCCATCACATCTGAATCCTGCAAGCCGTGCTGAATAAAACTCTCACTGGAAGAAAAGATGAAACAGTTGTCATTGGAGATACTGATCGTAACTCTTTGCTCCTTGTCAGACTTGTAATAACCACCGTTTTCAAAAATAACCGGATATTCATTCAGGTTCATAACAATACGATCCCTCAGATCTATTGTTAAAATGTAAGAAGTGGAATCTTTGATACTTATCGTGCTGTATTCTCCACCCAATGAGTACTCCATGTATCGATCAAATGTACCTTTGAAATAGTGATGTTAGAGCTTGGTGTGAACAAATCCTGACCTCCTTTTACACCATTTGAGTCGACTCTCGCAAATGCGAGAGGAAAGATCCCGGGGAGGGCACTATTGGTTTTGGTAGGTTGCATATTTATTTATTTTTTTAAATTTAAAAAATGTACCTTTGCCGTCCGCTTCTATCACAAGGTCAATATCCAGTTTAATGTTTTCAATATATACATTCAGACTGCAGTCAAGAACCACCAAATTTGGTCTTTCGAATGCCATGAAAATTGTCATGTTTTTCTCCAGAATCAAATAAGGTTGATACGACTGTTCACTATCAGTAGGAGATTCGGCAGTCATTTCCCCAAAGTACTGCTTGTTTGAACCTAAAATAAATTAGCTTGTCAACAAAGAATGAGTATTTTGTCACACCACTGCACATTTAAATTTCGTTAAAGGTTGTTTTAAAGTTATATAAACATCAATGATTAAGAAGCATAATGACGAATTTAAATACTCACAATTGTCATCTGAAACTGATCCTGTTCGCGACCACGTGTTTTTGGGACACTCCACACAGGTTTTCTCGGCTATATCGCGGTCATTGTATGTTGTTGAGGGACATTCTGAGCATGAGCCGTCGGTCGCTATGAAGTGTCCACGACCACAAACTGGATAATATTTTTAGTAACCAACTTAATGATGAATACTTTCAAATAATGCGATTTAAGTTATTTTTAATCAATTGAGTGCCAGATCAAAGATTGCATTTTACAGATAATGTTAATCTAATAAAATAAAAAGCAGTACAGTTTTTAGCCAGATCTCAACAAACCTGGAAGACAATCACTAGCAGAGGTTCCCACCCCAGCCTCCACAATAGTTCCCTCCGGACACTGTTTACAAGACAGGTAAGGACCACCCTCACTGAATGAGCCAGCTTCACAGAGGATACAGCCGTGCGGTGGTTTGAAGTACTGGCCAGGCTCGCAGGAGGGCACTGCAGGGTTGTTGTTATCCGACTATATAAATCATTGTGGAGTTTCAAATGATACTCATAGATATTAGGTTATAAATCTCAATACTGGATAGTGGGTGGGTATTATTAAAAGCGTGTGTCCAAAAGCATTATATTATCTATATCAATATTAATAAATGGCTCAAAGAGTCAATTTGGATCCTTCATATAATATTAACAGTCGAAAGCTTAAAGAAAACATAAAGCTTACACCGGTTCTGAGACTACAGAAAAATCTCAGTGTTTGTGAACCACATTGTACATGTGAAGAAATCCTTTTTATATTAACTGTAAAATGTATAGTATACATCTTACAGATTACATTGTATACTAACAAAACTACATACTATCACAGTGCAGGTACACATCTTCACTGTGACCACAATTACTCCCTTCAACGTAGTCACAGGTCTCCCAGTGCCCACTCGAACAATCCACATTGTCCAAAGTTATCTGCAGCTGCTCTTGTAGGTCCCATTTATTTTCAAACTTTTGCCATGTCACTGACTGTGCATAGCCCATTTCTCTACAAATGGCATCTGCTGAATTGTCGTCAAATCCGTCGTCACAAACAGTTCCACCTTTGTAGAGAAGAAGTCCTTTTGTAATCACCTCATTGTAGTTTTTGTCAGATAGTGCAAAGGGATGGCCTGAAAGTACCGCATAATGTTAGTATCTACGGAAATGTTTTTAAGAATCCATAAAAGATATACAACAACAATTTTCTTTCATTCAGAAGGGGACTTTTTGAAATTGAGGACTGTCCTTTGTAATTGAGTGTACTTTTTGAACAACAAAACTTAGAAAACTCACTTCCACAGTCCAAATAAATGTCGTCATAGTGACTACAAGAACTGCCCACATCTTTAGTAAAATACCCACATGACCCCCACGTGCCTTCTGGACATTTCATCTCAGTTACAGCAATCTCAAGACTTTCTCTAACTTGCCATCTTTGATAACCACTAAACTCCCCCCAAGTGCCGCTGACCCCGGTGTAACCCAACTTCTCACAAGCTGCACGTGCTGAAGTATCGCTGAACCCATTACTGCAAACTGTCCCTCCGTTCATTAGGAGGAGTCCACGGTTGGAGGATTCTTCTCCGTTCACATCGATAAATGTGAGGGTGTCGTCTGGAAGGTGTTTGTGGTAGCTTGCATGAAACTTATTCTGTTTACTATGAAAATCTTACGTTAGAAAGATATCTATTAATAAAAAGCATCATCAAAGCATTTATAGACTTTGATATCAATTGCTCAACTATAAAGTCAGGTCATTTTGTAAAAAACAGATCTGTTGTTGAAAAGTCAAAATCCAGGTTACAATCAACAATTAACTCACATTTGCAGCTTACGACGATGATCACGTCTGAACTAGCGCAGATACTTTCATCAGAGAATAAACAAGAAGACCACTCCCCATCGTCAGTACACTTTATCTTACTCAAAGTACCAATGTTGTTGCCCCCCTGGACGGTATCCCAGGAATCAGCATAGTCGTATCCCAATACTCTGCAAATTGAGGTGGCAGCGTTATCATCAAAGTAACCCTCTTCATAGCAAACATCACCACCATTATACTGAATAGTACCAGACTCAGCTGCAGAGTCAGCTGCAGGGTCACTAACTAATGTGAATGTTCCAGCTGAGAAAAGGGGAATGTCACAGTAAGGTAGCATGGTACGATTTTATACAACAATCCAATACAGGCCAATGAATATGTATTATTAAAATAGTCTCATTTTATTTTCACCTCACACTGTTCGTGTTAACAAGGCTAATCTCTAAAACTCCAATTTTTATTTTGTTTTTTTACCAATAATTATAAAAACATTGAAAAACTACTTTAGTTTTACCGCTACACGTCAAAAAAATATCCTCAGTGTGATCGCAATCTTCCGAATGAGCATCATATGTACAGTCAGTCCAACTATCACCACTGCAGTCTACATCATCTAGATTTGTATCGTAATTGTTTTGAATATTCCACGCAGTACCATCATCATCTTCCATGACATTCCACGCCGCATTGGAGCCGTCATAACCCATTTTTCTACAGATCGCCACAGCAGCATTGTCATTAAAGCCGTCATCACAAACTGTACCTCCGTTAAAGAGAACCAAACCTCCAGAGGTCACGTGTTCTCCGTTATGGTTCACCAGAGTAAACTCATCCGCTGCAAGGGTGATCATTAGTTATATGACAGCTGGCTAGGTTTAGTCAGTTAATAGAAATGCTTTTACCTGTTACAGCTACAATTATAATGTCTAAATTAATTAATAGTCTAACATAAGTACTGGAGGAGATTCTGGATACATGTAACTGATATGACAGGTTCTTTGTTTCAGAAGCTTTAAAATAAAACGTGTTAATCAACTCCAGTTAGTATTTACTCACTGATGCACTCAACGAACACATCCTCCGAATGTTGACAATTTGGCTTCAAAGAAAAGCTGCATTTCTCCATAAAATCACTACCACTCGAAGCACAACTAAAATCATCCAACTTCACATCGTACGAGTTCTGTATATCCCATTTCTCCCCGACCCAATAGTTCAGGTGACGGTCATATCCCATTTTCTGGCAAGCAGCTTTGGCTGAGTTGCTTCCAAAAGAGTCGTCACAGACGGTTCCTCCGTTGTACATGAGTAATCCAGATGGGCCGGTCTCTTCTCCATCCTCATCAACAAGCTTGAAATGGACTGGAGAGATAAACTTTAGATTAGGAAGTGAGATTTACTTGAACATACTTCTGCACTAGAGCAGACTGCTTCAAGTGATCGAAAAAGAACATGTTAACGTTTGCTATTGAATGCTCGAATGGTTGACTCTGGCAATCAGTAAACCAGGTTTGAATTAGAGTGGTCAATTAATTATTAGACTCTTGACATTAGTTAGATATGTATAAACTGACAAGACAAAAACCTGTCAACTGACGCTTTGATCCACAGAATGTCATGTATGCACTCAGTAATGAGTAATGTGCATGACTGATTATTATATCGGATTCGAACAAACAAAAATAAAATAATCTCCTTCTGTAGGTCATGCAGCTGCAAATTTATCATTGGCTAACATTTTCAGTCTAACTATAAGTTAAATGAATGACATCACACGAAGAGAGAATACAATATCCTAATTTCACATTCTCTGAAGTGATTATCTCAAACCTCTAATGTACTCACCATCACACGTCAGGAAAACATGTCCATATCTACACTCCTGACTGTCACTCTCAGTCTCATACTCGCACTCATCCCAAATTTGACTATCCGTACAGTCAACATCATATATCCCAACTTGCAGGGTACTTTGGATCTCCAATTCCTCATAAAGTGAATCATATGCAGCACCGTTCACATCGTATCCCAGCACCTGGCAGACTGCAACGGCTTCGTCTTCAAAGAATGAACCACCGCACACAGTCCCACCCTTGTAAAGGAGTAGTCCACTCTCCCGGACTGGTGCTTCACTGCTGTCGACAAGAGAAAATGGCCCACCTGAAACAGTGGGCCATTGAGGGAAGTTATATTCATACCCTCAGGGCTCTTCTTGGAGATTCATTTAGCAGAAACGATCATTTTTATAATCATGGCTATAGTCATCCTAATCTACAAACATAACACTAATACTAACCGGAAGAGACCGGCGAAGCCTCGGTAGCAACATCAGCTATAGCATCAGGACCCTCTACCATTCTAAAGGCTTCCTTACAGCTCCCCTCCGCATGACAAGGTTCACAAACCGCGTCAGCCCCGCCCCGATTATAGCTGCCTGGCTCACACGCCACACAGCCCTGACCATGTTTATAGTACTGACCAGGGCTACAGCTGGCACCTGAGGTATTTGTTAGCTATAAACTTGTTACAGACAGCAAATATTCGCTGTCAGAGTGATGAATTTTTGGAGTTCGATCATGAGACGTTCATGCAGATAGCATTAATTTTAGTAAAACGAGTGAAACATTGTCGTTCCAAAACTCAAAAGGCAAAGGGTTTGTTTTATGATTATTCTCACCTTGGCATGAGAGATAGACATCTTCAGCATGCTCACAATTATTACTCTCGCTGTAACTACATGAATACCAGCTACCACCCACAGGACAGTTCACATTATCCAATGTAATATGAACTTTCTCTTGAATATCCCATACGGATCCAAACTTCCTCCAACTCGTGGACCGCTCAAAGCCCATTTCTCTGCAGATGGCATCAGCAGAGGTGTCAGAAAACTCGTCGTCACAAACTGTGCCCCCGTTGTAAAGCAGTAACCCTTCAGGACTCACGTCGTTGTAGTTTGAATCAGCGAGTGAGAAGGATTTCTCTGGGAGTTTGTTATTAAAATTTTATAAATTATGGTGGCTTAGGTTGCAGGATTCAAAAGAGAGGTAAAGTGGGCCGCGAGTAAAGAATTTCCAAATTATTATCAGTGTGCATCGGTGCCATCATGTCACGGCGCACAATGGCCACCGCGATGACTAATGTAACTAAAGGCATTAACTATTCCAGTCACTTAACATTTCTAATGAACCCAATAAATTAATTAAGTCCGCTGCCTTCTAATCCAGTTAAGTCGATAAAGGCACATATGGATCTATACTTTAAAACGTTGGTACTATTGGAATAACACAAATATTCCCATTAGAGCATTATAGTATAAGATAAACACTAAAATTGATCGCTCGGATTCCCTTTCAATTTTCATCCACCCATTGCTTTCCGTGCTGCACGCCGCCGTTTTGAAAAAAAAACGGCGGCGTGCAGCACTGCTTTCCCGCCAAAAATAAAAAACGAACACCAGCAAAAACTTGCACTTACCTCCACAGTTCAAGTATATGTCATCATGATTTTCCTGACAATACGGATAAACATCTTTTTCATAAGTACACGACTCCCACGTTCCCTCTGGACACACCACCTCGACCAGGGTCACATCAAGATTGTTTTTGAGCTGCCAGGAGACGTACTCAAGCTCATACCAGGCAGTGAAACCATTAAATCCCATTTTCTTACAGATAGCTTCAGCAGAGGCATCTTTAAAGCCACTTTTGCATACTGTTCCTCCGTTGAAGAGAAGCAAACCTTTTGAGGCGTTGGGAACTCCATTCACATCGACAAAGGAAAACGAATCATCTGAAATATTTCAAATCTATCGTGTAAGACAGCAACATAATTGTATTCCAGTCGTAAGCAATGAAGATTCTACAGATTTTAGCCAAATTGACATGCTGCTAATCATAAAATTTATTGCATTATAAATCTACGAATGTTAACTCACATTTGCAGGTTATCCTGACAGCTCGAGAACTCCCACATTCACTGTCCTCGGAGTAAGTACACGAACTCCACTCTTCACTCCAACACTTCAACTTACTTAAAGGAGCAAAATAGTTATCATTCTCCACACTAACCCAACTAGTTGCAATGTTGTATCCTAAACATCTGCAAATGACGTTAGCTACGTTTCTATCAAAATGTTGGTCTTCGAAACAGAAAGTTTCTTTGTTGTACGTGATTATTCCTGAGTCCACAGCTGGGTTTCCAGCATCGTCTGTTAACGAGAACAATCCAACTGCGGTAATTGAAAACATCAGGCCTTATTTATCAGGTCCTATTTTTTCCGGCCCTTAAATAGTATGGCCATATTAAGCAAAATGTTGTTGCAGCATTTAGATTGATCAGCTTGTAATTTCGACCAGAATTTGGACAATTTATACGAAAACCAACTGTCCGGCCCTAATAGTAATTTGGCCTACCAAGAATTATGTCCGGCCCTAATTAGTATGGACACAAATTAAGGCCGATAAGTACATAATTATTTTCATTAAGAGCGGTGACTTTTGGAGTAATATTTCTCAATCTGCAAATTAAGGTTGGATGACCTTGAAATACTTATTATACTTATAGGACGGTGCATTTATAAGGATCTTAAATTTTGAGGTTTTGAAAATTGATTAGCGACTGTGGTAAAACTTAAGTAAACGTTGAGGAGTAAAACATTGATAAAATAACTTTACCTGATCCTCGACAGCTCAAGAAAATATCTTCATCATGACTACAATCTTCAGAGCGGGCATCAAATCTACACTCGGTCCAACTCTCTCCAGAACAATCTACATTATCTAGATTTGTATCGTAATTGTTTTGAATATTCCACGCAGTACCACCATCATCAGCATCTTCCATGACATTCCACGCCGCATTGGAGCCGTCATAACCCATTTTTCTACAGATCGCCACAGCAGCATTGTCATTAAAGCCGTCATCACAAACTGTACCTCCGTTAAAGAGAACCAAACCTCCAGAGGTCACGTGTTCTCCGTTATGGTTCACCAGAGTAAACTCATCCGCTGCGGTGGAAACTTCTGTTAGAAAAATTCTCCGATATAAGATTGTTTTATTAATCTATCATCTAGATTTGAGATCACAAAGTAACTTAATTTCATTAAATCTAATAAATATCGTATTAACTACGCTCGTTATTTATTATTATCTTTAAATGAAACTTACTGATGCACTCCACAAAAACATCCTCGCTATGCCTGCAATTTGCTGGAGAATACGCAAAAGTGCAACGTTCCATAAACCCAGTCTGAGTTTCACTACAACTCAACCGAGTCATGGAGATGTCATAAGATTCCTGGATAGCCCACTTATCATACGGAGCCCACTTTATGTGCCGATCGTACCCCATCTTACGACACACTGAGTCTGCAGATTGGTGGCTGAAGGCGGCATTACATACTGTACCGTATTGGTCGTCTAATGGTCCGTATTTGTGCAGGAGAAGTCCTTTTGGTCCACTGTTATCTCCGTTTTCGTCCACAAGTTTGAAATTTACTGGAGTTGAATCATGGGTAATGTTTTGTGAGAAATAGGGTAATTGGAAATGTTTGGGTCTGTTATAGTATTACTACGGTGAAAACCTGCATTCGGATTCATTCGTGTTTTTGTGATGAAAAATCTTTTTGTTATAAATAATCGAAGAGGTTAGAAATCCAAATTTCAACTTTGTAAAGATTTAATTTCTCCTACATAATATTAAACGCACCTACTTCCCCAAAATCTCTCTAGATCAACACTTCAAGTATAAAATAAAGCCACATCTAACTCAAACTCAAACTCACCATCACACGTCAAATGAACATGACTCTCTCTACACTTCTTCTTATGGACTTTACCCTGAAACTCACACTCCTCCCAGTTCCTGCTCTCCGTACAACGCACTTCGTGCATTTTAACTTGGAACTTTTTCTGAATTTTCCAACTGCCATCCAGATTGTAGGCCTTGGCTCCGTTCACATTGAATCCAAGTTCTCGACAAATAGCGACTGCTTCATTTGTGTAGAACCTAGTGGAGCATACCAAACCACCGTTCCAAAGTAGGAGACCGCTGTCCTGGACTATCTTCCCTTTCTGATCAACCAAGGAAAACTTATCCGCTGAAACGGAAAGATAGCGATTGAGGAAGTTCGGGGTTCATTGCGCTCAAAACCAAAGTGATAATTTTCGGGTGAGCGAATTAGTAAAAGCCGGTTTATTGAGGTCGGTCAATAATGTATTTACTGGTGCAGGAGTAAGCGTTCAACATTTAAGCATTTACCCTTTCGAGAAGAGATTAGTTGGCTGCACAAACTCAAAGAGACAAAAAACGTTAGCAATACGATATTACTCATCGTGTCATCTCGGTTCACAAGAAAATCTATAAATTTTAAAATAAGAGCTTTACCAACGAACAAAACAAAATAAGGTTTACTCAATTTAAATGATTTTATTGATTTTCAGGGGAAATAAATCAAATTATTGAAATGAAATTAACTACCATATCGGACTTTATTTGAACGGACATCATTAATTAGCTAATTAGTTAATTATTTAATTAGTTAATTAGTTAAATGGACGCTGGAGGCCCTAGCGTTCATTTTAATGTCCGTTCAAATAAAGTCAGACAAGGTAGTTAAATTAAATATATTAAATGAATGCCTTTGAGCGTTCATTGTAATGTCCGTTCAAAATTATGTCCGTTCACAAATGCCCGTTCAAATAACGTCCGATAAGGTATATCACACACGTACTGTGCAGTATACTGGTCATTAGATATTAAAGTTGTGTGCCTGATGTGCCACTACTCTAGAAGTAAAAACACATTTACGTTCTCATTGGTCAGGCGGTTTCAACACGTACATAATATGAAGGTACCAAAACAGATAACTGTTATTCGAGGTGGGATCTGTCCAAACTCAATTTGTCTGAATAAATACTTAACCAGGCGATTTATCTAATCTAATTTTATCATTTTGAGAACTTTGACTGAGCCAGCATGGTATGTTCTCAAACCTGCAAACTTCACCGATACTTTAATGAACCTTTTTATCAGTTATCAGTGGGTGTTTTGTTGCAATAATTAGTGTAATTACTTAATTAGTGGCCATCAGATTGTTTTATTGTGTGTAATTGGAGTATTGTTATACTATCGGTGTATTTTTTGCCTCTTTAGATATTTATGAATATCACCCAATCTCTTATAGAATAAGAAAGGAAATAAAAAAATCATTAAATGATTTTAATTAAAATTAAAATTTATTTACAAGAAAAACGTATCGTTAAACTGGTAAGCTGTCCGTTTGAAATTGTTTATTTAATATGTGAATTGTTTGTCTTAGTTAATAAAGATTTGGTACTCGATCGTTTTCTAAAATAACTTCCTTCTAGCTACGTAGTAGTAGGTTACCAGCCTTTGATAAAGTTGGAACAGCAGTTTTTGGTTACTGGAAGTCAAAATCGCGGAAAAAATGAATAAGTCGTACTGTCCTTTTGTGCAGCAAATAAACTTGATTAAAGCCCTGGTCGATATAAAGTCGATAATTGTTGATTTATCTTTTTATTTGATAACTGATAAATACTAGTTAAATCATAACTGTATATTTAAAATGTATAATATTTAAACCAGCCAGTCTAAATAAGACTAGTAGTAGTTTTATTGTAAAATAATGTCAAGAGCTTCAAGGGTCCTTTTAGCATTGGTCACAGCCCACAGGACTTTCTACAGAAGCTTTTATACATATAGCCTCTTTTATGACAATAACCTTGAGCAGCCCAACTTCGACACATACTGTCATAATCCACACAGGTGGAGCTTATCTTTGCAGTACCACTGCTAACTCAATCACAAGCGTTACAGCTACTTTTACAGTTCTCCAGCATATACGCACTGTTTCTCTGGCACTCCCCAATAGTGGCCCAATCCTCACAGTGGCTATGACTATCCTCACAGTTTCCTTTCTCTATGCAGGTATTACAACTGAGCGCGCAACTCCCGGCCATGTAAGCCCTGTTGCTGGTGCAGTAGCCCTGGCTTGCCCACACCACACAGTACTCATTCTTATCCTGACATCCGGGAACTCCTCTAACCTCGCTCACAGAGTTCTCATAGCACTTGTTACAGGAAGACTTGCAGTTCACGTTCATGTAGTAAGGGTTTGACTCACACTGGCCTTGTGTTGCCCAGTTCATGCAGTATTGGTTGTTGTCCCTGCAGGATCCAGCACATTGGGAGCCACATGTTGTGGCGCAGTATGTTTCCATGTAGTTGCTCCAGGAGGACCTACAGTACCCCAGCTTAGCGTAGTAATCACAGGATTGTGTGGGGTCATCAGCTTTGCAAACGGGCACTGTTCCGTGGGTGTCAGTTTGATCAGGACACAGTTGGCAGGAAGTTGAACACTGCTGTGTCATGAACTCAATGTAAGTGGAGGATGCACAATAGCCTTGCTCCTTCCATGTAGTGCAGTACTGGTGACTGTCTGGTTGGTAGGTGCACGCTGCTGATTCCTCAGCAGTGCAAAACTCACATGACCTGCTGCAATGAGCTGCCATGTATGGGTGGTACTCACTAGACTCAATACAGTAGCCATATGATGCCCAAGCAGAACAATCTTGCTCTAGGTCCACACATTCCTCAACCTCACAAAGCCCACATGACTTTGTGCAGTTTTCTTCCATCCATTCTTCGTACTGACCATCGTCACAGTAGCCTAGTCCTGCCCACTCGTCGCATATTGAATCACTTTCATACTTATTCTCGCACACTTCTACTACTTGACAGAAAGCACAAGTCTTCTTGCAGCCCCAGTTTGCTGTAGTCACGTGCTTTCCTCCGACACAATTTCCAGCCTTCATAAACTCATGGCACTTTGACTCTGGAAGTGCATCTGAACAATCTTCCGGAGGAATAATACAATCAGAATCATCAGTAGATCCTGCAGCAGATCTAGAACCTTCTGGACACTCCGTGCAGGTGGTAGCACCGTAGTTGGAGTAAGCGTCAATGGGACAAGTCTCACACCTGTTGCTATCTGGAGATAGGTGAGTGCCGGGCTGGCACTCGGTGCAGTTGTCTGAGGAGCTAGCTCCTGATAGAGACCAGGAACCTGCAGAACACAGCGTGCAGGACCTTGCCCGGGATAAGTTATTGTAGCTGTTCGCTGGACAAATCTGGCAGTTTGAGCTGGTGCCTGGAGCTAGAAAGTAACCAGGATCACAGCTCTCAGCACACAGCTTACAAGACCTCTGACAATTATCAGCCATCCAGCTAACATAATCTCCTGCAGTGCAGTAGCTTTCAGCAGCCCAATATGGACACATACCCGCACCAGCATACTCAGGATCATCAAAACAGTCATCAACATCAGCCTCCTCCTCCACAACTGCTTCTCTTGAGAAATCAGACTCTCCGTCACTATGGTTCAAGTCTGTGTAGCCCACGTACGCCACGTTGTTCAGAATACCACACATGTTGATACCCTGCCCTCTCAGTAACTTTCCAAACCCGTTATCTCCCCAGTCAACACCCCACGAGTTCTTTATTTCCCAGTAGTCAGGACCGTAGCCAACCAGGGCGATTACATGATTTGGGGAGCTTCCTGCTGGGCAGTCGACAAAGCTGTCGAATATTCCCTCGTTCAGCTGGAAGAAGCCGCTGTTAGTGTCCTTGGAAACGTAGATAGCTACGGTTAGTACCATGGTGTTAACCGCCTCTTTCACTAACCCGTCCAGGTTTGGTGGGAGTAACACAGGATTTCCTACTTGGAACTTTCCCTCTATTTCGTTTCCGAAATTATGTTCCATTGTACCTACAGCTAATATGTTGCATTCACCGTCGGAGTTGGCATATGGGTATTTACTGCTGCTTGCTAGCCGACTGTTATCTCTTACATACGTCCAAGCATCTTCCGGGAACCCACCTTTGCAGCCATCATACGCATCATACGCATCATATGTACAATCCAATAATTCTTGCACGGAGAGCTGCATCAATTTTCCTGGAGAAATATTTTTGATTGATGCCCACTTGTAATGTATTTGGTATTGTAGTAATTATTATCTGGAGTCAGAAATGGTTCAAATCATGAAATTTGATAAATGGAACTTCAGAGTTCAGTGTACGCCCTAAAATTTCAAATATTAGAAGTTTTAATTAATTTTTGGTATAAACAGTCAAATCAATTTTATTGAAGATTATAAAATGTTATCATGATCTAGATTGTGATCAATTGTGTTGTTCAAACCTGTAGTTTTCTTATAGATCCACTCCATCACACTCGCAGCACTGTAAGTCCAACATGACCCACAACTCATCTGATCCTTCACTGAAGTGACATAACCTCGCGCGTTCCAGTCAAGGGTTTCCGGAAGCTTAAATTCACCTGAAGACAAATTATTGATTGAGTCTTCTAAACCCGAATTTAGCAAACGTGGTGCAAATATATAGCACGCTTGATTGTTAGATTGCACAGATTTGTGTATACCGAAATCTTTATTTGGTTATATATTATTTAACTGAAACTTAATTTGGTTATATATTATTTAACTGAAACTTAATTTGGTTATATATTATTTAACTGAAACTTAATTTGGTTACATATTATTTAACTGAAACTTAATTTGGTTATATATTATTTAACTGAAACTTAATTTAGTTATATATTATTTAACTGAAACTTAATTTGGTTATATATTATTTAACTGAAACTTAATTTGGTTATATATTATTTAACTGAAACTTAATTTGGTTATATATTATTTAACTGAAACTTAATTTGGTTATATATTATTTAACTGAAACTTAATTTGGTTACATATTACTTAACTGAAACTTAATTTGGTTATATATTATTTAACTGAAACTTAATTTGGTTATATATTATTTAACTGAAACTTAATTTGGTTATATATTATTAAACTGAAACTTAATTTGGTTATGTATTATTTAACTGAAACTTAATTTGGTTATATATTATTTAACTGAAACTTAATTTGGTTATATATTATTTAACTGAAACTGAAACTTACCACATCTACCGCATGTCAGCTCACATTGTTCCCCATTTTCATCACATTGGCCGTTAAGTTTAATGGTTTGGCATCTCGTTGAAGTGTATCTGTTCCTACAGGCTTCCAACCCATCTGGCAGTTCCAACTCATCTGGTATTTCCTCTCTATTGACAATTTATTGCAGTTTTGTTATCTCAAAAGAATTTTTCTGCAGTTACTCCAACCGTAAATACAAATTGATAAGGTTTTACGTTCAGAAATAAGTACGAAGGAACCCCCATAAATCGTTTAAACGTTTAAGGCAACGATGTTTGCTGAATGATTGGCCGATGGCTTGTCCTTGATCATCAACGTTTACTATTTCTGCTGAAACTTACCGACTAATATTTTTGTCGAGACCAAGGTATTTCTCCTTTTCCCAGGTATCCATTGTAGAGAAGAGATTCATTGTTGTTTCGTACTTGCTGTCTCCGCTTTTGTATTCAATGTTGTGTATCTTAACCTGAAAAGATTGGTTCAAACTTCTAGCACTAATAACAGCGGATTTAACGTGAAACTATAAACAAATGAAGGATAATGAAATGATATAATAGTGTTATTCAGAGTAAGGATAACAGTACACGGGTTGAAAGTAAATGATAAATCCACTAGATGCAGAGCTGGTGAGCCCCTGGCTCATGAATGGGTCTAGTTTATCCATATATAAACATTTAACAATAACTAAAAGGTGCAGTAGAACTCTATACAGACCTCATTCAGACTTCTCAGAAAATTCCTCTTTTCTTTCTTTTGCTCTTTACGCTGTGTTTTTTGATCAGCCGAAACAAGCAATCTGGCGCTCTTCAGTCTCGGTCCATAAAGTTTGTTAAACTCATTCCAAGCCGCTACGCCATCCAGAGCTGCTATTTTCTTCTTTAACTTCTTACTTATTTTGTTGTTGGTTCTGACTATGAAGGTACCCCCCTGATTGTCTTGAAACGTGTACCGTCCACTCAGTCCAGTACTCACTTCGGGCAGGAACTGGAGCAAACCTAAATAAAGTAGAGCAAAACAACACTTCATTGCAATGAGAGGAAAAGATAATGAATGTTGAATCAGTACAAGATTCGAGTAAGGCTGGAAGTCTAATTCAATTCGAAGACTACAGCTTATATTTCAGCTCAGGGCATTTTTGAGCAGACGGCAATTTCGGAATACCTGTGATAAGAGCACTAGGATGTGTTGAGATAATTAAGGTAGATTATATAATAATATGAAAAATATAAACTGAGATTGAAACGATTTGGTTATTGATCATTTGAAATTGAATAATTCAACGCATACAAAAATTTTACAATTTTAATGAGTGATGCAGCAGAAGAAGCTTTAATAAAAACAAATTTGTTTTGGATTTTATCGCAGGGTTCTGTACCGACAGATGATGAAGTTAATCAATTGTGTATGAATATTGACTGAACTACTGAACTGCTGTACTGCTCGCTCAGTGCTCATTAAGATAAGGATTTTGGCAACCATAACATCATGATATTGATGCAGCTCCATTATAGAACTTTTGCATCGCTAGCTAGTATAGGTTGTTTCGGGCATTATATCTGCCGATACATTAGAATCATGAAACCTCTTTTTAACTTTAACATTAATATTTACTTTGACCCCAACCCTAATCGGAATCCTAATCGGAACCCAATCTACAGAATATACTAAAACACTAGCCCTAACGAAAAATTATACCAACTTTCTTTTATCATGGTTATATTACGTGATTGAGATTACCTGGGGACCTCGACAGGCTATCATGTTCATAAACATAAAGTAAACACCGAATATAAAGATTAGGCGGAATGACAGGCTGGTTGTAGGTTTATAACCTACCAGGACGCACGCCGAGTTGGACTCGTCGACGGTCCTGTATATAGAACAGATATTTTACGAGTATCACCCGTTAACAGGCTGAGCGCGGCCCAGTAAGATTGAGACTGTTTTCGCCGATATTTCGCCAGGTATACACGTTGTACTTGTATACCTTGTTTCGGCCGCGCAAAAGATAAAACTAAAAGGTATACTATACAACGCGAACGTGTAGCAACGTTAGGGGAGCATTTAAACTCTGTATTCAATATTGTATATTCATATGGCCAATGGCCATAATAGTGTTATTTGAAATCAGTGCAGCGTTCAAAAATACATCGATTTAAGCATTAAGTTAATGATCAACTTGATCTCAATTACTATAATTGTTTATTGGGGGCCTTTTAAAAGAATAAAAATCTCGAACTTCGATTGAAAAGTGATTTTTAAACACGCTCGATCTTGAATAAAGAAATTATATGGCAGAATGACAGTGGACAATCTGATAATATGAGGCAAAGCGTCGCCCGCAGTAATATAATCTTTTGTCTATTGTGTCACTTGGAGGACGTCGCCTCTTCAACCATCAATAAGAATTATTATTTTTGCTTCACTTCGACATTTGAATTGACGGATGTTTGATGTTACTCGTTTAAATTTCTTCGAAGTCAGAAGTAGCGCGCGCCGAGCCAAATCATTAACAATGGTTGGAGGACTTCGCCGCTTCGACGCGAACTAGCATTCTTGCTTCGCATCGTTGCTCTGCTTCGCAGAGCATGAGCAACGATCTCGATGGGTTGACATCGTCAACCAACGCAGGGTGAGAATCCCTGCCACGTTTTTGGTCAGTTTCGCCGGGGCTCATGTCTTCCCTCGAGGGAGCATTAGTGTCTACAGAAAAACTGACAAATCCTAGCGAAGTCCAATCCGAACCACATCTTCCATCAGAGGTGGTGCTGGGTCAGCTGGTTACTGAACGGATTGGCCTGGAGAAAGGCATAGTCCTGTTATTCTCAAGTTAACCATAGAGGGGGTCAGGCGCTGTTCGCTCACGGCTGGTTCTTGGAGCCAACACCCTCAGCCCCACAGAAGTGGGAGCACTGTCGGTGGTAGCTCACCCAGATAACGGACAGTTCTCTCCTTCTTTCTTCTTGGACTTGCATTGTTGCTGGTGAGACAGCTGGCAACAGTGTTCCATACTGACTGGATCAGATCACACACCAGTCTCATTTCCAGGCGAACCCACCCCCACTCACTCACTCACTCACACGCCGCCCCCCGGGCCGCTCCAGCTAGTGGATATCTAGCAATTAGTTATTTTCCAGCTAGTGGATATCTAGCACTTACTCCTTTTCCAGCTAGTGGATAATTAGCACCCAGAAAAACTCCGGTAAACGGAAGCAACATGAACACACAAACAAAGAAAAGTCACACGCGGCCCAAAATTTCAAATTAAACAAAGAAAGGGTCTTCACAAAACACAAATTTGCTTGGTAGCTTCTTAATGTCAACATTATACCGCGCGCGTCGCAAAGACGCGCGCAAATAAAGAAATCATAGATTTGGGAAAGAGATACTAGATGCTGAGGTTTGCCCGGTAGGTTCCTGTCTGCTCACTAGAAAAGACAGGGGGCAGCCTGTTCTAAAAGAGCGCCCGGGAGATCACTTAGGCATGGGTGGTGATCTCCCGAGAACGAGCATTATGACAGTTTTCCTTCGGGAAAACGTCGCTCACCAGGCTTTATCCTCCGGAGGGTAAGGAGCACTAGCCCATGCCAAGTGCCCGTACCCTATGACACCTACAACTGGAGGGACCCCAATAGACGTTAGTCACCAGACGGACGTAGCCTTCCGAGAGGAAGGTAAAGTGGGTGCCCCAACCCAAAAAAAAAAAAAATCGTCAACCAACATGGCTCATTGCATTGTCGGCATGGTTGATGGTTGACTTGATACACGAATTGCATTTCCAATTTCCCTTTTCGCTTGCGAAGAGCTTACCTGTTGGCGTAGTTCTATTAGTACACTCTTCAGTCTTCGTTACTGGGCTGAGTAGAGTGTCTGCTGCAGTAGAGTGGGCGGCGCTCACTTTTCATTCCGCAGCAGTTAGGCTTCAATCAATATGTTTATAAACATTTACATTATAGCTTCTTGTATCACGTTGCGACCCCCACGGTCGTTTCACTATGGTGTGTTCCTGTAGTGTATCGTCCTGACGATACAGGGGGAGCCGCGCACTTCGTGCGCGGCGGGTCATACAACGTATGACAAATAGCTCCTATGCAAATTTTACCTGGCACACCAGTCCCTGTGCTCTTTTCAAGCTTTGATCTGAGACATAAGAGAAGCGAGCAAATATAACTACGCCTAGTCCTATATACTGTACTAGCAAGCTAGGTAAGTGCAGTAGCACCGTAGCACGCGCCCGCCGTCGTGAGACGATTTGTAGCGCGATGCACTACTGGGTCGCGCCGCGCATCAAATAATTCTTCTCGGTAGATCGGCGAGATGCACCACTGTGCCTCACCGAGCTGCGAAGGATTGACATCGTGAATCAAGAGACGATCAGTTCAACTTCATCACGTAGTAGAGAGATGAAGATAGGGATTAAGGGATCATAGGGATAGATGTGAAGAGTCATTTTATAAAAATGATACACATGCGCTTCCATACCCTAGGCCTATGTAATCTGGGCCGGGGGCTCTTTCTAATTCGCTCGCCCAAAAATTTCACGTGACTTTGGTTTTATGGTTTTGCAGCCGTACAAAACGGTATTACATAAACCCTAATCCCAAAGCTATCCATAATCCTTACCACAACCGGCCTAACCCTAACCCGAATTCATGTTTTACTAGCCTGTCACGTGACCAAAACGGTTTTTTGCCCATAACTCTCCAGGGAAGACTTTTCACAAGAATTTTCTTGTAATTTGGGCGAGCGATTTAGTAGGAGCGCATCTGGGGTGATTCGGAATAAGAGCTCAAAAATACATCGATTCGAGTTAGTTTCTAGTTCTACTGTATTTTGTATATAATTATATCCTTCGTAAAAGGCCAGTAAGTGCCGAAACGTCAGGTACACATGTCCGTATTATTTTCCACTTTTGTTATCACATTTGCCTAGTTTCATTTCGTTTTTGTACTTTGACTGTCGAGAGCCGTGATGCTCCTTCAAACTAACAAAATCGTTTCAAACTCACGCTCGGCCTTACGCGAGATCTGTTCTACTGTAACAAATCTCAAAGTTGGAGTGTAGAGTGATGTAATTTTAACACTCTAAGTCTAGTAGATCCAATGTGCCTTTTGAATTGGTGGGGTCAACTTGATATTGTGTCTTATTCTCAAATAGTTAGAGATAGAAAAAATAATCAAAAATTAGTAGATACACAAAAATTGGTTCACAAAAGTAGGATTGTACAAAATCAGTCGGTTTGATACTATTTGTATCAATATCAATATCATAAATCGTGTATTTACTTCTCCAATATTGTTACATTTCAAACCTCTTTATTCGTGGTTGTATCAATTTTCGTACACAACTATTCCAAACACGGTTAATAAATTTAAAAATTTAATATATAAATTATCAAAACTTTAACTACTTCAGTTTCTAAGCACGTAAAATGTGTGACCATGTAAAATTCCTTAATAAAAACGGCACCAGAACGCTGATGAGTGTATATTTATACCCGAATTATTAAAAAATAGTACCAAATTCATCAGAAAACGTGATATAAAATGCATATTGCATACCTCGTTCGAGATAAATAAGATGATCAAAAATATCAAAACGGTACTGTGAGTATGATGGTACAGTGAGTACTAAATTTTGAAATTAAATGTACAAATAATATGAGAACGTTGCCGTTGGGTCACAAATTATTCTTTTTGTCTTTTAACTAGGTTTTGATCCCACATTAAAAATAATTGGTAGTGTGTGGATCTACTAATACCACATTATATAGGCAGTACTAATACCATATATTAAAATAGGCAGTATCAAACATAAACGATCAAACTATCGCATCAATTAAACCACAAATATGTATATGTATAATTATGTATTTATAGATCTAAATACTAAATCATTATACGTAATCTACGAACGGTTCGCCATCGCACGAAAAATTCGAAAAATATTTAAAAAAAGAATATGAAGCAACAAGCCTCTCTGTCCCCAAATCGAGAAATTCTGATCGCTAAAACACACTAAAATATACATAAATTCGTGTTGGTAAAAACTGAGAAATCCAGATTATATCAAAAAATCTCAAAAACTTTGAAGCTTGAAAATCTAATCGGATTATAATTCAGAGCTCATAAATGTAATTTTTCAGAGAAACCGTAACTAAACTTTAACATTTGGTTAAGTTTCCGCCGATGGAGTGTTAATTTTAAAGTAAACGTTGTACTTTAACTGCAATTCTACTTTTTGTATAACAAATATCTAGAGGACACTCCATACAGACTTAAATTTATCTTCATATTCGCTATGTGAAACAGAAAAAGGAAAATCCAAATAGGATTCCCATCTTGGGTTAGGTAATTTATGAAACAGTAAATTAAAATAGCACCTTTTTCATAAAAATCGCGGGAAAATTTTTCAGAACCACAAAACGAGTGCACCCTCTAATCGTATACATTCCAGGCCACTATACATCGTATACATTCCACTCTACATTCCACTACATCACATTCTCTATTATAAACTACTGGCACCAACTCGTGATGCTCATACCAGAACCGTCACATTCCAAACATACAAAAAGCACACACCGCATTTAAAATTAACAAGCATCCATTATTATCCACTTAACCAATTAGCTCACTGAATAGTTTTATAACTGCTCAACTAATTGACCAATTAAAAGTTCAAGTTCAAGTATTGAGATCGTCGTACAGGGGATTTCCCAGGACAGCCGAGCGGTATGTACCGCTGTGTTTAGCGACAAAATCCTCCTGGGACAGGACCTTCTTCTTCCCGAAGAAGTTAATCTTCCGTTTCTTCTTGGTGGCAGAAGTAGATCTGCTATCCAGGGAGTTCAGAGATTTCCCGTGATGAAGATTTGGGGACGAAGCAGTCGGCTCCGGGTCACTCAATGTCCGGTTGAGCGGCATCATAGCCTGGTGATAGAGACAAGTGGTTAACATTTCGTTAACACGTGGTTAACATTTGGTTAACGTTTCGTTAACACGTGGTTAACACGTGGTTAACACGTGGTTAACACGTGGTTAACATGTAGTTAACACGTGGTTAACATTTGGTTAACATTTCGTTAACACGTAGTTAACATGTGGTTAATGGTAGAGGCCACTTTTTTATATTATATCTAAACTTTTGCTGGAAATGAAAGGTTTTTACGACAGCGATAAAATTATCAAACTACAACACTACAAATCTATTACAATTATTGAGGATGTAACAAAAGGTATAATGTTGATTAAGATGGGTTCTAATCCCCCTCCATCATCAACTGGAGTTTCAATTTGTCAAAATGCACTTTTGAAACTACATTTTAGTCAGAGAAAACATGTTTACTTTTTGTTGATTAAATTCAACCATGTTTCAGTACTAAAGTATCTGTAGAAATGTCTAGAATATTATCTGAGGTTATACTGGAAACAATACCTCATTGCTGAAGGCCCGGGGTCTGGGTAACGATAGCTGCTCGCTTGACAACAGGGCGGGGTCTGCTCTTGGGGCTGTGGGAGAACGCTTTGGTGTCAGTTAGATATATGTTCAACACTATCAACACTCACAGACACACTGTTAGATATATGTTCAACACTATCAACACTCACAGACACACTGTTAGATATATGTTGAACACTATCAACACTCACAGACACACTGTTAGATATATGTTCAACACTATCAACACTCACAGACACACTGTTAGATATATGTTCAACACTATCAACACTCACAGACACACTGTTAGATATATGTTCAACACTATCAACACTCACAGACACACTGTTAGATATATGTTCAACACTATCAACACTCACAGACAAACTGTTAGATATATGTTCAACACTATCAACACTCACAGACACACTGTTAGATATATGTTCAACACTATCAACACTCACAGACACACTGTTAGATATATGTTCAACACTATCAACACTCACAGACACACTGTTAGATATATGTTCAACACTATCAACACTCACAGACACACTGTTAGATATATGTTCAACACTATCAACACTCACATACACACTGTTAGATATACGTTATTGTAATACTCAGTAAGTCTATAGCTTAGTAAAGTATAGATTTTGGTTCTCAGTCATTTGGTCCTCAAAAAATGCATCATTATTCAAAAATACTCTCGACTAGACTGTATGTCTTTTCAATATAATATAACCTACACGACACGTCAAGACTTTCATTCCAGCAGGCAACAAACAAAAATATACGTAAAACAGAAACTGAAAGTGAAATAGGAAACGGTTCAAAAGTGGAATTTAATACTACTTACTTTTTGCTCGAGCTACTTTGCTGCTTTTGCCAGCTTTATTGTTTGTCTGGTCGGTTGGTATTTGATCCAGTCTGGGAGAAACAGTAATTCACCAATCAATTAATCAATTAATCTATTAATATATTAATACTAGGTGAATTGATCATTAAATATCAAAATTTGTTGGATACTAAAAACGCAAAATTAAAAAAAAATAAGATACCAAAAGGGCAAAATTCCACTGATAATAACGATAGGGAACTGCTTTAGCCACCTTATTAAGACCACATTTTAAGAAATTCTCCAACGAAATTCATCTATATTTTCAAAAAAAGAAGCCCTAACCCAGGATAGCACAATACAGTATTTAAACTATGGTTCACATTTTCACAAACACTGAAGTCATGAGTCTCACTATCTAGCTTGAGATCAAGAACCCATTTGTAAGCCACAATTCACGTGATATTAAACTAAAAATGTAGACATTTCCCCCGCATTTTGGGGGAAGGGAAGTTTACGGCAAATCGAGATTTTACTGTACCTGGTTTGCGAGCTACCCTTGTCCCTTAAACTCAGTTTCAAAAACTCATCTTCACCTGGGGCTGGCTCAAAAGGGTTGTTCGACCAACCTGAAGAAATTAGTGAACTGTAGCTGTATTGTGTGTAATTAGTGAACTGTAGCTGTATTGTGTGTAATTAGTGAACTGTAGATGTATTGTGCGTAATTAGTGAACTGTAGATGTATTGTGTGTAATTAGTGAACTGTAGCTGTATTGTGTGTAATTAGTGAACTGTAGCTGTATTGTGTGTAATTAGTGAACTGTAGCTGTATTGTGTGTAATTAGTGAACTGTAGCTGTATTGTGTGTAATTAGTGAACTGTAGCTGTATTGTGTGTAATTAGTGAACTGTAGATGTATTGTGTGTAATTAGTGAACTGTAGCTGTATTGTGTGTGTGTGTATGTGTTTACAAATCAAAGAATAGTCGTCAATCGAAACATCTGAACTAATTATGATGCACTTATTGACTGTTATCTGAATTACATACAAAATTACAATAGGAAAGACATAATATTCTAAAATTAAATTGGCTCAATTCCAAAAACAGAGACACGGTGCTGGAAGATTATCTGGCTGGCATTGAGCCATGTTTTTAGAGAAGTATAGCCAGTAGTGTAAGTGAGCTGGTACAAAAGAAAGAGAAACTGAAGGATCACATGATTTAATCGCTTTATCCACCTGACTTACCACTCTCTTCAAAATTTGTCTGAAATGGGATATCGTCAGGAAAACGTGGGTTATCTCTTGGGTGGTATAATTAAATGGACTACAAGGCAGCTTGTGCTTTCAGATAAAATCAACAAGATCTCACTCTATCCTAACTATTAAACTGCTCCTCGATCATTATGCTATTAATAGAAATTATTCCAATAAGTACCTTCAGGAATGAAAGTTACATAGCCATTATGCATAGTTTATGCTTTTAAAGCTGTTCGGGATAGCATAGTGGTAGAATACTGCTTACGACGCATGCTTTCCACATGGCATTATGACGTCTTAACATCGTGTAGTGACGTCATAACATCGTGTAGTGACGTCATAACATCATGTAGTGACGTCATAACATCGTGTAGAGACGTCATAACATCGTGTAGTGACTTCATAACATCGTGTAGTGACGTCATAACATCGTGTAGTGACTTCATAACATCGTGTAGAGACGTCATAACATCGTGTAGTGACGTCATAACATCGTGTAGTGACTTAATATAACACATGCTACTCACGCTCCAGATTTTACATGTTATTTTACTTTTCTACAAGCCATACATACATGCAGGACATCTAAATCATATCTAGATATTGTGTTATATGTTGATTGCTATACACTGATACATTTACCACTACAGCCATCGTATATCCTCAATTAGGAACTTGGATTTGATAACAACTGAGCAAGAGTCACGCACCCAATATTTTACAGTCAACAGATGTCGTGGCCACTTTTTAGTAATATTTTATTTGAACTACAGTTATCATCAGACAGAATTTTTAACGAAGAAATCATTCTTCAATGGCTGCGTGACTCTCTACTCAAAAATAAAACCTGGAAATATGGCGGCAACCGGACGAACCTCACTGCCGTAAGATAACCCACTTCGGTACACAGGGTTGTTGACGCCCTCCTCCCTACTGGTGGCGGCGCTGCGTGGTAGTCTTGCTGGAGTGGGTGCTACGCTGCGCAGTGGTCCCGCACCGCTTGACAACTGACCCGCGCTGCTACTCATCTCGTAGCTCCTCTTTTCCTCCTCCCACAAGAAAGGATTACTCATCGGGTTGGAAATATTCTTGAGGAAAGTGGTGTCCGATTTGGCACGAGAGTGACCCCGGCGACTAACAACCTTGTGGGAGGGAGAGGCAGGGGGTGGCGGTAGAAAGACCAGCGGAGAGGTAGTGGAGAGGGGAGTCGCTGGGGTGGCTGGCGGGGGTCTTTGGTGCTGTAGAAAGACAGTCAAACTAAGGTTGTTCCGTCAAGTCTAATGTGTTTCCTCTTCATGCTGTGCCTTTTGCTCACAAAACGCCTCCTATTCCCAAACGGCTTGTATAAAAATGCACTTTTTTGAGGTCACAATCAAATTTTAGAGTTCCTAAATCATGTCATCGGATTAGAAAAGAGTCAGAATTGTGCTTTTGTAAATGTGCTTGAAAGCACTGTCACTCTTATAATTCACCAGAGTAAGAAATGTAATTGTATTCACGATTCCATGCTCTATACTCAAGAAGTCACCAAACAGGGAGAAGGACATGTTTTGATCAGAAAAAGACACAACAGAGAGACGATTTATGGGTGTCAGTGTACGTCGGTCAGATAACATGCTGTATTACTACTATGCATTATAGTCGCATCATAGTCGCACTCATAGCAGTTTGCACAGTCACATTACAGGTATACTCTATATACGGTCTAGTCATGCCTGGGTCTAGATGCATCATGCAGTTCAACGTTAAGCCCGTTTGTATTCAAAACATAACTTCATTAGTTGATAAAACTGGTAGGATAACCCGCATGGATTCCCCTGGGATATCCAATGAATTCGTTCGAATGTTACTAATTAGGAGTTAACAAGACTTAACGTTGAACCGATCAGGCCAGAAAAGACTTGTACATTTAGCACTCATACCAGGTATTAAGAAACGAACATGAGACAAGCTATTGGTTTATTTAACTTACAGGGCTGGCGTTGGCAGAGGATGTACTTCCCCAGGGATCTTCACCTTTGGTCAGCTGAAAATAAAGAGTCGTGTCATTCATTTAATTTTGCTACATTTATAAGACATGGAAGAGTATAGGATGTAAAGGCGTGCTGTTCAAGTGAAAATGGATAAAACTTAGACATTCAACGTTGTAACTGGGATATGACTAGAAGCCAAATTGGGCTGATTTTTACCCACGATCTTCAAAAATGTGAGCACGAAAATTTTAACCTAGTTACAGATAAGCGGTAAGTTTTGATGTCGAAAAAATAATTATGATTTTAGAGACATTGGCAAGAGAACAACCTGCGGACTAGAATGAAGGCTGTGTCGCTTTACTCTGACTTCTAAATCATTAGTGTCACGTGACGTCATCACACTATCACGTGATGTCATCGTTATGTCACGTGAGGGCGCGGCGTGATCTCGTGATAAAGCAGTTTCGGGGGGTGCTATAAGTAAGACTTCGCTCGGTTTGTTGATAGCTCGAGGTCGAGATCTTGATTTGACCGTGGAACTGTCCTCATTCGGAGTGGCTGGTTCCACGCTGGGTTGCAAGATTGTTGGGTTTGAAACTAAAAAAATATGTTAAGTTTACAGAGGATGGGAGGTAATTCGATATATTTTGGATGTTTCTACACTCTACAGTCTACATTAAATAATTGAATAGCAGTAGAACATAATATTATAATATAACATACTGTTTGTTGGTATGGTCTTGAGTAACTAGCGCAGGTTGGACCCGTTTGATTGAAGGAGCCGGCTGCACCACCTCTTTTAAGGAAGCAGGGACTTGCTCTTTACTTTTCACCTCATCGTTCTAAATTAGAGGCGGGTTATGGTACTGTACCTACAAAATCAGCAGACAAATAACCTTTTAGTTTTAACGGTTGAAATATATATATTACATAAACTTAAAGGATGAAAATGATGCTGAAATTGTCATTTATACTCACCTTCAATCGTGAGATGATCTGTCTTGCATTTAATCTATCAGAAGGATTAACTTTCAACGTATCTCCTGAAACGAAATATCTTTGTGGCACGGACTGTTGAATGACAATGTACAATGTACAATGTACGGTTTCCTTTCAATAGATGACGGTACCCATGAGAAGATATACCACATTTTCTCTCAAAACACAGAAAAAGCGTGGAGAGCTCTACAAAGTACAGTCTTAATAAACTGCTAAAAATTAGCGGAGGTCACAATTACAGACGATTTATGACGCAGTAATAGTAACACTCTCAAAGAGGACCGTTTTCAGAGCGAATTTGATTTAAGGGCTGCAGCTTGATTCACACTTCCCTGATTTTGAGTGTCATATTGTTTCCAAACTTTAATTCTCACCCTAACAGTTAATCAATTATATACGACCAGAACACAGGGATGAGCCGAGTCCGACATTAGAAGACGCTACATTCACTGTTCATGTGTAAACTATGACTGATGCACATCGACTGATGAGGAAGCTACATTCCGCTAAATTGTTCCTACACACCTTAGATCAGTAAAGCTAAAGCTGGCGAGCAAGAAATTTCTAACTTCTATTTGTGTCTAATCTTAATCTGATCTATGCTTTAATTCTTCAATTATACAAATTACGTATACATAAGGGATCGTTCACATATGAATTATGATATGAGGTAGGCTAGCCAGGGAAGGGGTATTCATAATTTACGCTAATTTTTACACGATATCCATGTGCAAAACGGCTTGAGGATGGTCAAAATATGGCTAACTCAACATGTGAACGATCCTCAAGACGTTAATACTAACTAAAACTCACGAATGATGGAGATGAGATTGTCGCTATATTTATCAGGGTCAGGGATGGCGAACTTAGCGCGAGCTATCGCGAGAGTGTTCTCTTCAAAGGGTGTGGTGAAGAAACAGAGCTTGTAAAGTAAAACACCCAGTGCCTGGATGAAGGTTAGGTTAATATGTCACGGCAACAACGACAACAACAACAACAAAAACTACATGGCTAACCTAGCAAGCTAGGAACGAGGGGCTGATTTCATTTTCGTGTAGCGCTCGTAATGTAGTGATATTTAACTACATTACCGAGTGCAGTGAAGGCAAATACAGTTTCTTAACTCTACATATCATATTTGTGTATCGCGACTGCTACATAAACATCATCCATTATCGAATGGATTTACCCAGAGATCTGCCGCCGGTCCTATCTTGTACCCGAGATACATATCGCACATTTCAGGCGCTCTGTAAGCCAGCGTGGTGAACCTGTGCAATATTTTCGGTAAATCTTCAGTAGTTTATATTTTGGGATTAGGATAAAAACCAAAAGCTTATAATTATTAGCACTAGTATAGTAATGCACGTAGCAGCCAGCACGAAATGTGTCGTGCAAATGAAGAGCTTTTTCATTTTTGACCAAGAGCTAAAATTGAATTAGTCGCGCGACGCGCGCGTTTAAGTTGGAGTAAGTGCTATAACTTTAGTACTTTAAAATTAAATCTTCAGTAAAAACTAGCAATAAATTATTTTGGGCGTCATAAGTCACAGGTTGGAGATTAAGTTAAAGTGTTAAAATAGAATTCATGCTTTGTGAATCAGTATAACATTTGATGGACCAAGCGATCTCTTTACATAGGGTAAGAACTGTGTATCTACTCACTTCAAAATATTTTCTTCGACAAAATTGTGTCCATGTGCCTGAAATTTTAACGTCTTATGGTGAATTTACCTAATTTTTGTACAAAGACTAAATAGAAGCATACTTAAATATGTAATTAATAGAAAAATTGAAAAAGGTCTTGAAAGTCCACCTCTGGATCCAAGTCTCCTTGATGAGCGCTTCCAAAGTCACACAATACATACTCTTTACTGGGTCCTATCAGTATATTTTCAACCTGAAAAATTATAAATATTTACTTTTACCAATTAAGAGTAATAGAGCACAGTATACTTAGAAAATATGGAAATAATGAAGAATCTAGAATTAGCAGTTATCTAAACATCACGATTCGACGTAAAGAAAATTGAATAACGACAAAATCTTAGCATGAATATTGAAACAATTAAAAGTTAACAAGATAAATGTACCTTCAAATCCCTATGAGAGTACCCGTTCTCATGCAACAGAGCAACAGCATCAACAATACCAGTAAATATCTGCCTGATCAATGTTTCGGTAAACCCGGATGACAAATGCTGGTTCATCAGATCCACCACCGTGCCGTCTGAAGAAATTATATTGAGGTAATATTGAGGTAATATTGAGGTGAGATTGAGGTAATATTGAGGTGAGATTGAGGTAATATTGAGGTGAGATTGAGGTAATATTGAGGTGAGATTGTGTTTCTTCAGGGTGGGGAGGTGGTAATAGTCTGATAGAGTCAGTTGTAAAGGCATTATGAGACTATAGTGCACCGATTAAGAATTAGCAGTTAATATTCCTGATGATTATACATAGTATAATAGACGGCCTCGTGGTATTTCCGCTCGACACACTAGGATCTCTGAACATACTTTTAACCGTACAAATACAATCGATTAAAAGTGGTCCGGCAATGGTTAGATTGATTTTCATGTGTATTTTTAATGACTGACCTTACTGAGCTGAGACCAACACTATAAAAATATGGTAAGTTATAGAACTCCTGACCAAACGAGTGCCGAAGGCACGAGTTTTGTCAGGAGTTCTATAAATTGCTTATGGTACGGCACAAGACAACAGTTTTAGGAACATTTTCCGACCAAAATTTTGAAATTTGGTGCCTTTTAACCGTGTCAAATTGGCAAAAAACTGTAACTACTTCCGACACAAAGTGTTCATTGTCCAATGAGCATCCTGCCATGCTGCTACCATCGTGTTACTCTCGTGTTTGCCACATGACAGCTTACCAAACTGCTATTGGACAGCGCACGTTTGTCACGTGACGATTTGATTATTGATACTTATTGAGCACTGTATTTCATAGATCACATTTATCGAGTACAGTACTGAATAAATGTTAAATTCCTGTTAAATTCCTTTATGAAAGTAATTCCTTTGCGATAGACACTCCTCTAATTTCCAACGATTACAGTGATATTTCAAGCTTGACTCAACCCTTGCTGTTCTCTCAAACTATAAGGATGTGAATTGTGAATCTAATTTTGCTTGAGCATGAAATCCAGCCCTTCTCGCTGGCTAATATAAGTCACGTTATCTATCAGCTGACTGTACCTCGTGACTGCGTCACTCGGTTACCACGTGCATGACAAACTGGTGCCGTACCATAAGCGCAGCTACATCATGGTAAATACAAATAAATTTCAGTGCAATGTTTTTGTTGTGCACTTACTTGGACAGTGCTGCATGAGAAGTAGCACTTCATAAATCCCGTTTCCAATGTGCTTTGTGTGGTGTCCTTTAAATGATACCATAGCTGGATGCCGGTGAAACGATTTCTGAAAATAAATCATCTGGTAAATTAAAAACCTTCTAATAAATAAATAACCTTACAAGCGCTCAGGTTCTTGGCACAATCTGTTAGGGGGCATGGGTAGGTGGGTATTTCCTCGAATTGACTTTTTAGTCGTTTTTAATAGATAGGAGTGATATCTATCAGCGTTATCATTGGTCAAAGTTAAGCGCTTTTGTGTAATTTCTTAATTTCGAAAAAAAAACGAGGTCCAAGATTTTCAAAGTCTAAGAAAAAATGCTTCAAGGCCTCATCTCATAATTTTGTATGACTGATCATGATCTCTTCTAAATGATCCCTGGCACATATCTTGAGCGTCTCATAGGTATAGGAAAATATAGATTTGTAGACTCGATTTTCAGTGTATGCGATCGAAAATCGCTGCACACTACAATCATACATGAGCACTGACCTTTGACCAACGACAACTTCGGCTAGGAACAGTATTTTTCGATGGGACTAAAAGCAACTAATTATTACACTAAGCAACTAAGGGATATTACTCCCCTCTATTTACTCCTCCTCTTTAATTAGAAACGACTAGAAAATAGGTTTCGAGGAAATTTTCATGAAGACCCCGGCTCCCTTGTTCCTTAATAATGAAAGGAGGTCCAGAGCATAAACTTGCTAGAAGCTATTTTTTAAATTTGAAGCCAGTGTCGATGACAAATGATTTCTATTTTCGTGAAGAGCATAAGTAAAATGGGAAGGGAAAGTTTAACGGACTTAGCTTAAAATATGCAGATACTCTGGAATTTGTAAAGAACCATTTAATTGATTATTATTAATTGTTATCATAGTTAAAGAACTGACCATTATAAGAATTTCTTGTTTACAGTTTTCCAGATCAACTTGAGAGTTGACTAACATTCTCTTCAGTGCAAATATTCTGTTCTTTGTGGTGTCCCGAACTAAAAACACAAACGAGAAACCTCCTGAAATTATTTGGTTATATTTGTTATTACTTGATTAAATAGATAAGTTATTACTTTATTAAATAAATAAGTTATAAGATAAGTTATTCAATTTAATTAATTTTAATTAAGTAAGTCATCTACATGAGAGGATTTTCAAATTTAGAGACTTTGTCAATGTCATAAAACAAAACTAAGTGATGAGCAAACGCTACTACTTATTTCATTTACATGATTCTTCATTAATATCAGAGCAGAATAATTTCACCATTTTATTGTATAATTGATTAATTTACAGCTGAAGGAATAATCATTTAATAGCTTATTAATTGTTATATATTTAATTGTTATATATTTGGTAAGATTCAAATACATCTGGTGACCACGTTAACTATACATTGTACGAATAGTATGCTTAACAGAACTGATCGCGGAAATAACGTGTACACTGTACACTGTACAGTGTACAACGTCAACAACAAACATCTTATGTACAATGTAACAGTCCGGGTATAGTATTTTATTGTATAGTACTACTAATATAGTATAGTACTACTAATATATTTACAATACACTACAATCTAGATGTACGAAGGGGTATTCTATGAAGATACTTTCTCTTTTGGTAGGGCCTAGGAACACATAACCTTGAGTATGGAGGTGGAGGTCTCCGACATTATTATCACTGCATATCTGAACGTGAACAATGAAGAGCAGAACATTGGCCCTTTAGGACTGCTATTCTTGTGGAAAACTATATATATGTGTTTACACAAGAGGCCTTTTAAATCAATAATTTGTACAAAGTGTAATTTACACTACATGGAATCGCCCATATAATATGAATTATATCTATTTCTTCCTGGATTGTAGAGTAAAAACTTAAATATTATTCAAAAGCGTACATGCACCAATTTAACTGTGTTGTAATTTATAGCTCACCGTAAATATTATATGAATTACTGCAATAACACATGTGATGATAATGGCTATTTAATTTAGAGGAAGGAAATAGAAATGGTACCACATGCTTATACTTATTATACTACACTATTAAGAGAAATACAAACAAAATAGGCGTGATTATGTAACCTGCTCACTGCACTGAAAGGTAAAGAATACTAGATAAATTTAAAACTATACATATACAATATAAGTGTATAATATCAATCACTTTTATTTAACCTTGATTCAGATCTCAGATCTCTCTTTGATCAAGCCACAAGAACTTTTATACTCAAATCTAAACTAATTAAGTTATTATTCCAGACATAATTCTAACAATTGGTTAATTAATTGATTCAACATCAAAAAATTAGCATACCTTCAGCGATGACATCCTCAACGACAAGTGTCAGGTCCCCTACACCATAGTGCTTACCAACAAAGGAGTCATACTGAGAATCCTGCTTCGACGATGCAAACAGCTTTTTCATGTTTTAATCTTACATTTGTTACTGTCATGTTGGCATTCTGAACTGAAAATATGTTCCATTTAGAAAACATCATATAATTTGAATCATTGCAGGGATGTTATTCAAATCTCACTGTAGGCACATCATGCATAGTGTAGAATGTTACAGAAATCTTGTCTACTTAGAAAAGAGTAATAGAATAGAGTAAAATAAGAATAACGATAATTAAAATAATAGAATACTAGAACAAAATCCACTGAATTATCTAATTCAAGAGCTAGAGCAAAGTAATGAGTGTGAACAGAGTGTGGTGTATTTGAACATTGTGTTTATATGATAAAAGAAAGTGAGGACTCAAAATTATTTGTTGAGAAATTAACTTATTAAATACTTGAATGTCTGTCTCTTTATGAGATTCGAATTTTAACCCAACATAGCAGTGAATCAAAGTGAACGTAACATACTGTAACCTCCAATCTGTTGCATCACCAAGTTTAAATAATCATTGTATATAGTATAATAAGAATAATTGAAATTCAAAAGAGCCCATAAGTCAGTGTGCAAAGGTTTGGCTTATATAAAACATAGCCGCTTTTCAGAATTGGTGGTAAGTGGTTTAATCGATGGTTTTGTACCCCAAATATGTGGTATTAAAGAGAGAAAAAAAATTCTCTTTCTTAAATTGACTAATTCGGCCAGTTTTGACTGGGCAAGTTCATGCTTTTGTACCATTTTTACTTTTGCAATTCAACTGCAATAGTGAAGTCCCGGCCGAAGGCACGGGTTACTCTAGTTAGTCTCACAACGTGATAGAACATAAAATAATAATAATAAATTAGTTTTATTTTTATGCGGCCAAAATTTAAGGGGTAAAACAATTTAAAATGAACGTTTAATAATAATAATAAATTAATGTTATTTTTATACAGCACCAAAAGGTTAAATAATTTAAATTAAACCCTTGCTCAGCTGTAAATGATAATTAATTAACGAGATCGTGCATCTTTGGGATCTTTGCCTTGAACGGAGGTGAAACAAGAAACTGTTCAGAAAACAGAAGTTAGTAACAGTTAATTAAATTAAATTGTAAACCCTTATTCTCAGCTATGATTATCATTATTAAATCAAAATAGCAAATAATTTAATTTATGATCGGAGGGCATTTTTTGATGTAAGGGTATTTCATGCCCCAGCCCCCTCCAATGCAAGCAAACCGATACCAGCAATGTACCTGTCCCATGAAAATGAGAAAAAGCGATGTTACAATGCAAGGGTTCTTGAAGTGGAGAAAGGAAGCTTCACACCTTTAGTGTTCTCGACTTCTGGTGGAATGGGTGGTGAAGCTGAGAGACTGGTCAAGAAGCTGGCCAGTAAGATGGAGTACCACACTGGCCAGAGGTACTCAGACGCTGTAGGATACATAAGAAAGCGCCTTCGCTTTGAAATCCTCAGAACAACAGTGATTTCTCTCCGTGGAGACAGAGGTGCGAGAAAAAACATTGTTGATATAAACAGTCTAGATCTTAACTTGGAGCCACAAGGCCAAGGGTAAACAATTTTTTGATTGTTAAGGGAATTTTTTGAATTCTTAAAGGGTTGATTTTATATAGGGTCATTGCTATATTATGTGTATATTGTTTGAATATTTTATATAAAAAAATAATTTATGATCGGTCATCCCCTTTATATTATAAATGGGCAATAACATACTCTTCATAACAATTCAATGAAACAATAAGTTTTCATTGTCTAATACAAATTCATGTCTGGTTTTGAGAACTATTTTCGGTCTTTCATTGTGGGAGTTCCCACATTTGTTGGTTGAGAATGCTCAATATAACATAGCTTGACTGCTTTATTGACCAAGGTAGGAACTGGGGCGGACATCCCAACATAAGTTTAAGACATATATAAGACATATATTTTGTTCTAACACTTATTTTACTTCATACATTCCACTGAGCTAAATCAGCAAAGGGATGGCGCGGCGGCTTCTCTGGGATATAACACATCCTGAAGCAGCCCAACACGATGTCCCAACGCACTGGTGTTGGGATGTCTGCCCAGGTCAATAAAACAGTCAAGCATCATCTGTGTTATGTTGAGCATTCTCAACCAACAAATGTGATAACTCCCACAATGAAAGACTGAAACAGATCTAAAGAGACAATTAACAGAATCGGAGTAATAGACTTGAATTGTAGATATAATCTATGTTAATAATAGTTTTAAATTATTAGCTATTTTAGATTTAATAATAATCATACATTCAAACAGCCATATTTGTTACACGAGTGTAACCAGGCAATTACGGGAAGCTAAATGATACAATTAGTGACAGTTAGATAGTGAGTACCATAATTTCTTCGCCCGAGACTTCACTGCAATGGGCAGCTCCCCCATTTAACCCTCACACTTGATTTTTCAAGCATTCGGCTGAGTGGACCAGTGGTGAGGGGAGGGGCTGCATTAGGATTTTTCTACATAGGATTCTTAGCTGAGAATCGAACCTGGAACCTCGTGAAACGCTTTAATAATTTAGCAGGTATATTTGACCAAATAAACCACTCAGCCGTGTTGGACTGCTTCAGAGGTGTTAGATCAGAGAACTTGTATTGAAAGATTGCGCATTTAAAGTTTTAACCTTGGTCTGACGTGCATGCGTGAAACTTTTGTCCAAAACAAAATATGAAACTTTATATAAATCAATGAATCTATTTAGAAAACAATTTTTTTCATTGTACTAACGTTGTACTTATAAATTCTATAATCCTATTTGAAATGATTTTCAAAGTTAAAACAATTTTCTGGATGGCAAAAACTGTTTCTTACATTGTATGACCCGCCGCGCACGAGTGCGCGGCCACCTCAGTTAAACAAAAATTTCAGTTAAACAAAAATTTCAATTTTATGCCATTTATTACAGATTAAACAAGTTTACAATAAATCAATTTGATATTTAACGGAATCCTAATTCAATGTGCAGTATGGTTGTCACTCTTTAAATAGATTAGATATAGGTTGACGGGGCAAAGGAGTGTGCGTGCTGTTCGCTATTGCTCACACCAAACGGCAACCTAGTAAATGTTTTGTATGAACACCGGTCTCCATCACGACACAAAATTAGGATTGTAGAATTTATTGTATAACTATTAGTGCAGTGGAGGTAGCGGTGTGGTGCATTAATAGAGTGACAGCCTACTGATTTAGAGTTGTTTTTAAGTGAGCATAATAGGTGTATTTTTGGATCAAATGGCAACTTTAAAATTTGTTCTTTTAATCATTTATTAAATATCAGTTTAAAAATATATAAATCTGGAATCTGTTCACTCTGTGAACCAGTCCTATAAAAATTTCAAAAACCCTCCTAAATTAAATATTAAAAACGTCTCAGTAATGGAAATAGTCATACAATTAAGAAATTATCCAAATTCTTAATATCTACCTAAGAGAAAAATACCTACCTAAGTCAATTTCTACCTGTAATACACTAAATATTAGGTTAAATACATAGGTGGTGGAGTCAGCACACATTTACAAAAATCAAAATTGTTTAATAGGAGGAGCCTGTGGGCCGAGATCACTGGATTAAATTTGATGACGGGGATTGTTTTCAAATGACAGCTGCATTATGTCATAATCGCTTGTGGTCCATGCCGAATCATTATAAGCATGTTGCAGCTTAAGAAGTGCCTTTTTCAGGCGACTTTTAGCAAAGCTAATCTTGTAGGAGTAGTCAAAGAGCTTAAGTTTAGGTGCAATTGTGTTCCAAATTTTTAGTAGTAGTCCAAACCTGTTTAGTAGAAACCTGAAACGCTACACAGTGAAACGACAATGGGGCCGGTACAACTTGTATCACGTTGTAACTATTGTCTTTTATTATATTGTCGTTTTACTAAGTCATGAGTGTTTATTTCACTTTAGCGTTTGTACGATGCAGTGGAGCCGCGCACGAGTGCGCGGCGAATCATACAATGTAAAAAAAGTTTTAGTCATCCAGAAAATTGTTTTAACTTTTCTAAGGCCAAGTTGGACTCGTCGACGGTCCTTTATTTGGAATAAAAATATTTGGAACAAATATTTAAAGACGCGAGTATTACCCGTTAAATGCCAAATGCAAAGTAACTATATTGTATATTTATTCGTTACAAATAAAAATGTTACAAATAAAAATGATTCATAATGTTGCAATTTCCGTTATAGTAGTTAGGAGAAGCCCAATAGTACATTTTGCCGATCTATTACATTGCTTTTTACTGCAGTTTACTAAATTGTTATTGCGAGAAAAATTTATTAATGCGCTGCGCAGTTCAGTAATGCATCGCGCTTCAACAAAAACAATTAATTTAATATAAAAAGATACAATTTTTATTTACAACAAAACAATCAATATTTGTAGCGAAATGCGCTACTGTGCCGCGCCGAGCTGCGATGAATTGACATTTTCAATTAAAATCAATACATAATGTTATATTCATAAATAAATTCAAATTTGAATTTCAACCATATATACATCCCGCCGCGCACACAGCCACACATTGTTGAGAAATCCTTATGTGCGGCTGTTTGCGCCGCGCACAGGATCCATTTAATTTGTATCTTACAATTACATGTCACATTTATTAATTACTAGAGCCAATTAGTTTAAGTTAAATGATGTTATTTTTTAAAATTACGTCGAAGTAATGCACGCCGCTTTTTTCTCGAAATGTTAGCCCGAGGCAAGTACTACGATTTATAAATATGTAGGAATAATTTAGAAATGTTATGCTATTATACAAATTAATCAAATTTATAGGGTTCAATTCTATTTTGTGGTCCTATTGCATTATGCACTACCCACTGGCAAGTATTTGAGTGAAAATCTGGGCTCTTATAGTGGCTGAATATACAGAGTGGCCCAAAAGTAACTGCCCACACGTAACCCTTTAATAACTCACGTAATTCTTTTTAGAATATTGAAATAAAGGGATTATGGGCAGTGGTACTTGATAATCTTAAAGAATTCTAAAATACAGTGATATTTGTACAAGTTTTGAGCCGTTAGAATGTTTAATCTATTGAAAATGGGTTTTGTGTGCTCCTTTTCAAAGTGTTGATGGTCTAGTTTTTTAAATATGAGTCGAGATCACAAGAAAACAACAAATTTTTTTTCTTCAAGAAAACAACACATTTTTTATTTAAATCAATTATAGCAACAATTTTAAAAACTTTAAAGTTCTTCTATTACCATGGAATATACTACGGGTATGGTGACTTGGGCTATTGAGTTGTTAAGTAGATTAAGATTAGTAAACCTGCACTTGAATTGTATTTATAAAAACTAGAAATTAGGCTTCACGGTAAAATGGAGAAGCAGGCTGATCTTGGAGAGAGCAGACCGTAAAGTTTACGCACCCACCAGGGCTACCTACCTACCCCAGTTGTTCTTTTTGGTTTATCAGCTTGTATTGTTATATTTATGAACCCCAAGTCACCACACTAAGAAGAAGTATGTTTAAAAAATAATAATAAGTTAAGTTAATATCATCATATCAGTTTTAAACAGTAAAAGTTAAGTTGATGATTGAATTTTCTAGTTAATTTAATGGTTCAAACGTTTGGGAATATAATAATGTTGGTATTTGTATCTGTATCTGCTGCAGCAATAATATCGATATGTCATTTGTCTAGAAAATTTACGCCTCTTCAATAGATATTGGGTCGGCAATTTGGTGAGTGAGTGATGAACTGGTTTGGTCTGTGACTGAGTGAGGGGCGATGTGAAAGTTGTGGTAAGTCCAGGTGTTATTATTGTTGATGGATTGGGATCCCAGGATGATACTTTTACAGCGTAATTTAACCAAAGATACAGAAGTAGTGAGGATTTCCCCATTCTCATTTAGAATCCGTTTATGTATGCTATTCCACAATTTGGAGGCTATATAAAGAAACGTGTTAGTTTTTCTTGGGAGGATTACGACATTGCTTGTATCACGTTTTGATGAGTCTATAGTACAATACAAAGAGTATGGTGTGCGAAATTTCATGATTCGAAATATCTCAGATATACAGTGGTATTTGTACAAGTTTTGAACAATAAGCAATTTTAGTCGATTAAAAATGGGCTTGGTGTGCTCTTTTTCGAAAAAAGCAGCTCCTAACCTCTGTTTTGTATAAGGTCTGGCTCGTGCACAAGTGGCATGTTTGTCGAGGTATGCATTTAGGTCTCCAAAAAGGATTCTTATACAACGTTTCTGAGTTATGAACAGCTTATCGTTTGGTTGGTCTTTGAGGGCTGAGCCCCAAACACTTATTCCGTAAGCAAGATGTGATTCCAATAATGCAGAGTATATTTTTTGGTAGTGTTCCCCTGGAACTGAATGTTTAATCCTGTTAAGTGCTCCTGTAGTGGATCTAATTTTTTTTCTTAGATATTCTATATGTGGGCCCCAGCTAAGTTTTTCATCAATTACTACACCAAGAAATTTGGTGTTGCTAACCTTGACAATTTTGTGTCCATTTATAAATATTCCTTGTGATTTGTCATATTCATTGGCATACGGCCTAACTCTGGCGCAGGTTTCATCAGATTCGTATGCAGGTAGAAAATGTATGTAGCAGCATTTAGACATATTTATATGTAAGAGATTACTTCTCATGAATTTGCATATGAAATCAAGAACTTTATTGGCCTTCAAGTATGTTGATTCTTTGGACGGTCCAGTGATAAATATATTTGTGTCATCAGCATAGAGCACAAATTTGCATTCATCGCCTTTGTAACAGTTTATTATGTCGTTCATATATAATAAGAAAAGTAGAGGGCCTAGTATGGAACCTTGGGGAACTCCATATTTTACATTCACCAAAAAGGATCCTTATACAGTGCTTCTGTGTGATAAAAAGACTATCATTGGACCGTTATTTGAAGACAACACCCCAAACACTTATACCATAACTGAGATGTGATTCAAAGAGAGCATTATATATTTTCAAATATAGTTCAGAAGGTATCGAGTACCGAATTCTGCAGATTGCACCAGTCATAGATCGCAGTTTTTTTACGGATGCAGTGCATGTGGGCAATCCAGTTTAGCTTACTATCTATAACAACACCTAAGAATTCTTTTTAGAATTGCACAGAAATTTCAGACATTATTGACTGGGTCAAACTTAGATTTCCTGAAAGTTTCGTCAAATTTAATTAAATACAGTGGGTGTGGCACGCCATACTCCCTATTTTTCACTATTTTCACCATAAAGTAAGAAGGCTTTCAGCTAGGAACTTCAAAGATTCTAGACATGTTTGGTTTGATAATTAAAGTGCTTTCCCAAAATTTCAAGCTTATTGTTACAATTTAACCGAGTTATGACCCTTAATTAAGATATTGCAGATACGTGATCTTGGCACTTAATCATTGATTTCGTCACCCAATCAGTAATCTCATCGGGAGCTATTCGCTAGGGAGTAGGGAGCAACAATGAGACTCATTAGGCGGTAACGAGCATGTTGGTGGATGACGATCTGATCACTTTGAGTGAATACTGATAATGACGTTCCTTAAAACCGAAGAAATTTGCGTTATAGCGCTTTGGTTGCTGTCCTAAAAGTAGTCTCCAACCAATTAGGGCATTGATTGAGTGAAGATATCACTGAGTGAGTTATTAAAGGATTGCGTGTGGGCAGTTACTTTTGGGCCACCCCGTATATTCAGGCACTATAAGAGCCTAGATTTGCACTCAAATACTTGCCAGTGGGTAGTGCATAATGCAATAGGACCACAAAATAGAATTGAACCCTATAAATTCGATTAATTTTTATAATAGCATAACATTTCTAAATTATTCCTACATATTTAATATTTATAAATAACTAGAATTGTTTTAACTAAAATTATTTCAGTAGTTACTACTATTATGTATTCAATAGAGTAATTACCACTTTTGTATCCGTGTATCGTCACAAAACTGTAGACCAAATATCTATTGAAGTGGCATAGATCTTTGTAGGAATTAGGAGCTCAACAGATACAAAACCAAGCTTACATATTGATTATTGGTATTATTTAAAAAAATATTGTTTTATGATGTCCGAAAATATTCTGCCCATTTTGTAAAGATTAAATTGGAACTTTTTGGAATTCAAATTATCATATTATCTATATTATGTATTTTAAACTTGGCGAAATCCCCCGTTGCAACGGGGACAAAAAAACACTGAAAATTGACCTTAAACCGATCGTCCGTTCTGAACAATTTTAGCTAATTTTAGGGTTGTAGAAAAAAGGATAGAAATAGGAGACAACATTTTTAGAATTTTGCACAGAAGAAGAAACTTTTGTGCATGTCCTCTAAAAGAAATAAAAAACCATCTCTTCAGTCTTCATCTATGATAGTACTCATGCTAGTACTTCACCCTGTCTCTAGGGATTTAGGAGTGATTTGGCCTTAATTAAATTTCTGGACTCCGGTATAATAACATGCTAAATACAGTCATGAATCCTGATTCCTATTATAACAAGGATCTCTCTCTCTCTCTCTCTCTCTCTCTTTCTCTTTCTCTCTGTTGTGATTTAAAGCATATAGGCTAAATATACATAATACATGTATTATAACCGTGGTTTAACCTTGATTGTACTTAAACATTAGAATAAGAATTATACAGCAAATTACACAATGATATTATCAAATAATTCGCATTTGATTATGAAACTACGAAGAACATTCAAATCAATTTTATGAATTGTCTCATATGACGGTAAACCAAAATTTAAACCACACTAGTGCAACTTCTGCCTTCGGACGGGTTTCACTGTTGCAGTTAAAAAGGTGCAAAAGTATGAACCTGCTCGATGGACCTGCAACAAAATTGTCAAATTGGACCCACTACGACTACTTACTAGTTACTACAGGACTAGAGCTGTGAGCCGTGATCAAATTAGAACTTGTATACACTTCAGATATATATAATATATTCTGCAGTGATAAGTGACCAAAATAAATGCAAAAAGTACCATTTAAACCACTGCACTTAACGATTTTTAAAACTTAAATTATTTTGCTTCGGCAGAGTCTTATCGGCACTATACTGAAAAAAATCGGTCCCCAAACTCTTATCGTTTTCTTGATTAAGCGGTTTGTAAATTAAAACCAAGCAGATGCAGTTTCTAGCATCATTTGCATTACTGATGGTATGTTATGGTATTAACCATAATAATCTGTCTGTAGAAAATCCCATTTTAGTTTCTTATAATGGTAATTGGTACTACATATATCACTCTGTAGTAGACGTTGGCTGAGCCTTCCGGTTACATTCTGTCAGCAGAATTCATCATCTTATTACGGACTATAATTACGATGTTTAATACTTGCTGTCAGGAACGCAATTAACCAAAACAATAGTGAATTCTTTGCCACCCACCGAAACACTTGGATCGCTGTAAGGACATTAAGGAATAAGTATAAAGAGAACAGTGACACTTACCATTTAAGGTAGTTATGTCAAAGAACGAGCAATTGTCTTTACTTTACGGTAAAGACCCCCAAAGAGAGCTCATCAAGAATTTACTAACAAGTGACAACGTTCTGAAGAAAGGTAAGCTGATAAACAAAAAGTACAAACTTTGAATATTATATATAAACGTTTCTTTTGCATGGATTGCTTTCTTTAAGATGAAATAATGATAATGAATAACGAATCCCTAAGGCGAACTATACGACTATGACGTTCCTTGTACTACCACTAAAGCTGACGACTACAAAGCCTGGACTGGGGCCGCGTTGAGACCTCCTCAAGTGAAACAGGTTGTTTAAATTTACTAGGGTTGTCCAACTTGTGGGTTTTTGAACCTCCCCGGAGATATTTTCGATGGCGTTTATTCAAGAGGATTGCTATGAAAGTCTTGTTGTTTCACTTCAATTTGGAATAAGCTAGGTTTTCATTATTAGACATTTGCAGATAAACCAAGGCAAAAAGCATCAGGTATTATTTAGAGCACTCGTGTTTAACCCTGACTGTAGAAATAAATCAGCACCGTATTATTTAGAGCACTCGTGTTTAACCCTGACTGTAGAAAAAAGCAGCACCGTATTATTTAGAGCACTCGTGTTTAACCCTGACTGTAGAAAAAAAGCAGCACCGTATTATTTAGAGCACTCGTGTTTAACCCTGACTGTAGAAAAAAAGCAGCACCGTATTATTTAGAGCACTCGTGTTTAACCCTGACTGTAGAAATAAATTAGCACCGTATTATTTAGAGCACTCGTGTTTAACCCTGACTGTAGAAATAAAGCAGCACTGTATTATTTAGAGCACTCGTGTTTAACCCTGACTGTAGAAATAAAGCAGCACTGTTAGCTGTGGAGCCTACTTTAACGCTGACTGTAGAAATAAAGCAGCACTGTTGGCTGTGGAGCCTACTTAATTACTTTTAATAGAATTGCATGCCGTACAATAAAGCAGTTTGAAGTGCACATTTCAGAATTCCAATATATTTCACAAGCTGTTTGGAAAAATAATTATTCCGGCACACTTTTATCCAAAGATGCATGTAAAGATGTAAAGATGCGGTAATCCATAATCAGAGAAGTGAACTATACAGATTGACTCAGAGTTTTATTTTCTAATGTTATTGTGGTTAGCTATTTCATCTAAGTTTGATATTAAATCATACCAAAATATAACCCATAAATACTACACGTTTGACATTTTTGTGATAAAATATCATTAAATAATGGTAAAATTGCAGGAGACACTAAAGACTAATATTAGTTTCGGGTCCTATGTTGCCGGGAAATCCTCTATACACAGTAGTGATTACAACACCAAGAAATACTCAAAGTAAGCCTGTTGATGTCACGTGGTTACTTAATAATTCGTTTTAAATCTTATTTTAATTTGTATTGGTCGATTAAATTAAACATAATTTTATGTTTTCCTTTTTAATATGTAATCGCAGAAGTGACAACTCCAACAGAAGTCTCAACTGAAACAATTTACCGCCAAACTCTACTGTTTTGAATCCTGTTACTCAACTGATTTTACAGGTCAACAGTTTCAAGCCTGCAAATAACATCAACATAATCGACTTGGATCCTAAATACCAAACTGATGCAAACCCTATAACATCATCTTATGCTGCTGAGTTTGACAAGGATGCTCTGGTTTGTCTTTAATATTATTCAATCGATGAAACATTTATTGATAAATTAATTAATAAATTAATTGATAAATTAATTGATAAATTAATTGATAAATTTATTGATCAATTTATTGACAAATTTATTGATCAATTTATGTTATAAACAATTAAAACATTGGTGGTATCCAAGAAGCCCGACAACGTATGACATGATGGTTAGCAGATCATATGACCGCATACCAATCATGATATTTCTTTCATTCAAATTTCATGATATTATGTAATGAATGGTATCGTGGTATCTTGGTATCTTGGTATCTTGGTATCTTGGTATCTTGGTATCTTGGTATCTTGGTATCTTGGTATCTTGGTATCTTGGTATCTTGGTATCTTGGTATCTTGGTATCTTGGTATCTTGGTATCTTGGTATCTTGGTATCTTGGTATCTTGGATGCAATTAATTATGACTATCGTAGTGAATTGCTCCCGAGCTCGGATTGCAAAAGGGAGACCTGCCTTCCGAGATTGTATCGGGGGAACCTCGATTCAAAAAAGTTGAAGGTGGGGGCCGGGGTAGGTTCAGGCATTGATTACGTGATATTGCGGTTAGGAGGGGTTGGGGCTTCTTGGATATTACCTGGAACTCTACACAACTAATTAGTAATTAGTCGGCTCTACACAACTAATTAGTAATTAGTCGGCTCTACTCAACTAATTAGCAATTAGTCGGCTCTACCCTCTACTACACTGCGCTGCTACGTCTACACATTCGCTTATCTACTTAACAATCACGTGACACAAGAATCGTGGGATTTGTTGCTTTTTTTCTGCACGTAGATTTGAAGAGCAACCAAACTTCGATAAAAATAACAGAGGCGGAATCTTGTTGACTGTACTGTATATTTTACTGAAAATTTCGCAGGTTCGACATCAAGCGAAGAACAAAGTATTGATACACGGATCAGGAAACCCAATTACGAATTATCTACGAGCTACCCACTTTACTCTCGGTAGCGATCCTTCAGAGTAAGATTCTGTTTTAATGTCGTATTGTCGTATTGTCGAAGTGTGACGGATGGAGGAAAGGAAGGACATTCGACATATTTAGACCCACTTTTCCCAATTTCCCTTATTTCATTTATATTGCCATTCATATTTCATATTCATCCTTTCTTTTTAAAGTGGAGGATGAAAAAAGATCACGTTACAAAACTACAAAAGTTGTAACTTGTGTTACCAAAAGACCAAAGCTCGAATTCATCTTTTGTGCGCGCGAACGTCAAATGACATTTTTGTATGAAAATAATTTTATCGATAACCATTTAAGGTGCGTTTCCATGGGAACGCGCATAAAATAAAATTTGCAGATGCTTATACCAATACGATAACAAATGCACTATAAATAAAAGCAGTGAGCAACTTCACATGTTGACGAATCTAACTGATATCTGTGCCACCTCACCACCAGTTTTCAAGTTGAGGAACTCGATTCTTTTCCAAATGTTCAGTTCATGAACGATTCAAACAGCTAATTCTCAGAGTGAACTATCATTATTGGTTTCAGACAAAAGACTGAAGCTCAAGCTGCATTTTCAAATGCAGAGTCTTTAACAGCCAAAAACTCTGTCGCGGCAGAACGAGCACAGCAAGATAAACGTACAAACAACGTCTTTAGGTGAGTGCAATTTTTTGTAACGAATTGTAATGCATATCATTCTTCAAATAAATCTGTCAAAATAAAAAGAACAATTTGAATAGATTTATTATAACAATCGTGTGTTACAACTATGTAAAGAGTAATCTCAACGTTTCGTCTAAGAAAAAGGCGAAACGTCGACAATACATGATGTATTTTGTTTTAAAGTGTGTGGAGACTCTCATTTCGTCCCCAGTTGTAGTAATCTATCATTTGTTAAAATTTTTAGGTAATTAATTCCACTTTCAAGTTATTAACATTACCCTAGGAATGGTGATTACAACATAACCAAAGTGCCGGAAAACAAATCAGTTTTCTCCATGTCCTACGCAGGAATTCCATCAACTCAGAAGGGATACGATCACATAATCAACTCAAGGTTTTATTTGAAGGATTCTGCTTCCCAGATGCGATTTTTTCTATAAATATTTTGATTTTATGCTCGATTATTAATTTGTGTTATTTTGTCTTTATTAAGGGCTAAATCACCATGAAAATGCATCATAACATTTTAAATTTTGTTTTAAAGTTAGTGAAAGCTCGTCGTAAACTGTGATTCAGAGCTTGTCTGAAGAAATCTCGCATATTTCAGGTCCAACATCAAAATGGACGATACAAAGTACGCTATTTCCAAGAAGTTGTACAGTTACTTGAGAGAAAAGTTCCAGAATCCCAGAGATCCGTGTCAGGTTAACCTTAGACAAGCTTTTGCTCTATTCGACAAGAAAAGAACAGGTATGTATTAAAGAAAATTTTATGGACGACGGACGTACTTTTTATTCTAAATGAATTACTGTAGATTTTTTATAGGACTTTGTGAAATCTCTCAATCTTCATCAAAATTTGTCCTCATTGTTACCAGATTTATAACGTTAAAATATAATATTATTTCTGAAAATTATAAATTAGCTATTGCGTCTCATACTACACTTAAAGGAGTGTATACTGTTAACTCTAGGAAACTACAATATAAGATCATCACTTCGACCAAGTTATTTCACCGGTTACCCTCCACTCAGGTTTCATCTCCTACGACAGTCTTTCAAGTGTCCTAAAACGTTTCCTGGACCCATCAGATCATTCTATGGTGGGTGAAATTGTGGCTCTGTTCGACCTCAACAACGACGGTAAGATCGATTACCTTGAGTTCGAGACCTTCCTCAACCAGAAGTTCCCGGAAGTTGAGAAAGAAGCTTCACTCTATTCAGGTAATTTTGAGAGTTTATCCTTGCGTTTGACTTTTCTTGTCGTTTTAAAATGTTTGTGGCTCATGTATAGTATTTGTCTTTTAAATGGATAGAGGATATTCACTGACAAAATTATTCCATAGACTAATCGTGTCTCATCGTAAAATCCATGTCTTATCATGACTAAATATGTTAACCTAAAATAAATCCTTGTGTTTCAGATACGTATAAACCAAGTCTACTGGAGGGGGCAAAAAGACCCCGATCCTCGGACAACTCCCCTGTGGACGGCAGCTACCAGATCAAAACTCATTTCAAGTAACAAATCTTTCTTTGGGTATTTTCACGATATGCTTCTGGTTTAAATTAAACCAGGTTTAATATCGTTTATATCACTTAAAAACAGGAACAAGATGAATACTTTAAGACGTACATTTTGAAATTCAATACAATAAAAAAGAAAACAATTTTAGGATTTCTTCATTTTTAAGGTTCGGTGAAGGAATGGAGAACTCGGAGTCGCTGTATAAGAGCACATTTGGAGAAGTTACTAAGCATGGTATTCGCCCTGAAGTAGCTAAACCTCCCCCTCCATCACAGGTATGTGATATTTCTCAACCTAATCATTAATTAATGCTAACAAATTAGCTTCGTTTTGACTTAGTAATATATCGACTATGTGACATATTAACTTTTTGACTTATTGACTTAGAAACATATCGACCATGTAACATAACGACTTTATGACATATTAACTTTATGACTATGTAACATATTAACTTTATAACATATTGACTATGTGACATATAATTGACTATGTAACATATTAACTTTATGACTTATTACCGATTGTACCCAGATGTTGCCAGTAGAACCGGAGCACATGAGGACAGCTAACAGTATACAGAGAGAGGACTACCACTGTCACTTCACACATCTCCGCAAAATGGCTGACGAGCGCGCTGCCACTATACGTGCTAACAAGAGCTTGCATGAGAACGCCAGCTTTGCTATTGGGAATGATAGTGAGGTGTCCAAGGTGAATTTATGTTCTGCTGACGTAACGTGATTGGTTGGCGACGTCGCGTGGTTTATTGGTGACGTCACGCGGTTAATTGGCCTATCACGGATTTAAGGCACTGTTTCTTTATCCTTTAAACTCTATCAATTAACGTCTCTATCACTTTGACTGAATACAAATAAGATATTACTAACAAACAAAATTGCAACTAATTAATTAATTAACTGATTAACTAATTAGCTAATTAATTAATCCCAACTACAGGATCTGCACATGCAGAGTCTTACTCTTAGCTCGTACCAACCTAAGAAGCTGCTTCCATGTGAACGAGCTCGAGGGTTCGAGTCACAGTGGAACCATCTTAAGACTGAAGATGCTCTTCCTGACCTAACTGCGGGTACATGAGAATATTAGTGTCGTTTATTATTATTAAATGTAACATTGATTGTATGATTTATCGATTAATTTATTATTTCTGAGATTATTTGTCTCAAATGTAACAATATTCAATACAAGGATAGCACATAACTTCGATTCGGCGAGTACAAACCACCCTCCCCCATGCCCCCCCCCCCCCCCCCCCAACCGGCAACCACCCTCCTCGTTAGATACTAACGAAGCCCACCATCCCAGGTCCAATGGTTTCGGAACACACGGATGCGTTCAACAACAAATCTACCTCTGCTCAGAACGAGTTCATTCTAAACAAAGATCTACGAAAGGTAAAATTAATTAATAACTTAATTAGTCAATTAATTAATCGTTCTTTCACGTGATGTTTTGAATCAAAATTCGATTGGGGGCCGGCTTTTGGTCTACCGATCATAGAGGTTTACAATCGAATTGGGAAGTAAACTAGTCATGTTTTGGCGAAATTTTAAATTTTTCGGTCTATTCGGTCGAACCGAACTCCGAATACCGAATATTTTCCGAACTATTTGGTAACCCTACTTAATGTTAAGGTGCGTGTTAACGATGAGAAGAGCAGTCATTTGAAGTTTGGTAATGACGCTAACATTGGAGACGTGTCAGAAATGGTACGTAAATCATAGTATCATATTATAGTATAGATATATCTTACAGTATTATAGATATATCTTATTGTATAGATATATCTTACAGTATTATAGATATATCTTATTGTATAGATATATCTTATTGTATAGATATATCTTATTGTATAGATATATCTTATTGTATAGATATATCTTATTGTATAGATATATATTATTGTATAGATATATCTTATTGTATAGATATATCTTATTGTATAGATATATCTTATTGTATAGATATATCTTATTGTATAGATATATCTTATTGTATAGATATATCTTATTGTTGCGACTTTATGTACAGAGTCCGAGAAATACCTTGGTGGTTAATTTTACAGTCACTGTCAATTGAATCGTTCCTTATGACAGCAGTAAATGAAATAAATACGTTTCCCTAAATCTTCTCATGTAAAATGTTGATAAATTACTATCTAGGGGCACAATTTAATACATCATCTAACTTCTCGGTTACAAGCCTCTAGCTGTCGATAAATATATTGGGACACGTGACAGCTATCAACCAATCAGCTTCCAGCATTGACCAATCAAACCCCAGAAACTATCAAGATTCACATTGTCATTAAAAATTTGTTATCTAATGACGTAAAAATTCTCAACACATGATTTAACTATTTATCTTCATTAGAACATTGTCATCACTGAGTCCATTCAGATAAAATCTGAAATTTTCTTTAGAGAATCATCAAATAACACTACACAACTTAATCAGATCAAATACGATTCATCTCCCCACCATCACCCACATTTATTGATAACTTTATAACGAGTAAATAACTCAGTCACTTAATTAGCTAATTAAATGTTCGCCAGGCAGTTCAGTTCAAGACCCCCAAAGTAAACCCTGGACACCCCGCGGCTGGTATAGCAGGTGGTCCGATAGCAGAACACAAGCACATCCACCATAGTGACAACCAGACAGCTCTCAGCGATCCCAGTGTCAAGAGTTTGCAGGACTCTATTAAACAGACTATTTTAGAGGTTTGAGTGGTTTTTATTTAGTGTAATATTCAGAGTACAGATGGCATTGGTTTGGTTTTTTGAATGAGTTATATTCGTCATCATTTCTGAGTTTGAACAACTATCGGTATCCTTTGCAAAATATCTGACCAATGTTTAACTAAAAGTGATTTGTTAATAAGTTATGAACTTTCAGAAATGTTATAACCACCGTGACCCTTTGAACATCAACCTACAAAAAGCGTTTAAGGAATTTGACAAGAACAACACCGGAAAAATAACTGTCACCGGTAAGATGAAATTAGATACTAAGCAAAACATTTAAATACTACGAAGAACGGTCGTTATACGGTCGTTATACGGTCGTAATGCGGTCGTTATACGGTCGTTATACGGTCGTTATACGGTCGTTATACGGTCGTTATACGGTCGTTATACGGTCGTTATACGGTCGTTATACGGTCGTTATACGGTCGTTATACGGTCGTTATACGGTCGTTATACGGTCGTTATACGGTCGTTATACAATATACGGTCGTTATACGGTCGTTATACGGTCGTTATACGGTCGTTATACGGTCGTTATACGGCCGTTATACGGTCGTTATACGGTCGTTATACGGTCGTTATACGGTCGGTATACGGTTTTTATACACGAATTGTTCCAATGCACCAATGCCCAATAAGAAGTAGAGGGTTATAATTTCTATACTGCGAGTTTAATGTTTTAATTAAACTATGGCCGATTTAGGTCTGTAGCTGCCTGTAGTGCCTTGCTGGACTTCATATTGCATAACACAAAAAGTAAAATGTTGTGCTACCCACTAACACTACTTTTATGTATTGTGCAGGACTAAGGGAGGCCTGTAAAAGATTGCAACTACCAGTGGACGATGCAACTCTCAGAAGATACTTCATCTGGTACGTTACTAAGAGTGTACAACTTAATATCACACTTTCATTTTACAATGACTGGTTGTTAACCTAGCACACAATCTTAATTAGTTAAATCGTAATTAATCAAATCGTAATTAATCAAATCTTAGTTAATTAAATCCTAATTAATTAAATCTTAATTAATTAAATCCCCCTTTTCACAGTTTAGACAAGAACAAGGACGGTTCTATTGATTACAACGAGTTTGCAGATGAGTTGGGTGTGCATATTCAACATGTCAGCTCCAAAGGAATGACAACGGTCATGAAGAGCAGTTATACTCCAATTAATGAGAGGTCCGTTTTAACATTTTAAAAACTTTTGTAAACGTTTCAAACATTTTTGTTTATAGTTTTAAAAACTCAGTTCTGACTCTTTGGTTACTCGTTTAATTTAGGTAGTTGAATTTGCTTATCTTTTGATTTAAGACTACTTTTTAGTGATCGTTTTTTATGGATTAAATAACAACCATATCATGTTGATAGTCCTACAAGTAACTCTTATGTTGATAAACTATAGTTCAACAAGTTACTCTTATGTTGATAAACTATAGTATAAGTTACTTGCCTCTAAAAGTAAAATTTAAAATTAAAAAAGAATTTATATGGCAGGAGTCAGGAGATGGAAGTAAAGATTGACAAACAGAAAATCCAACCTTCTCATTATTTCCACATGAACAACACTTCTGGTAAACATTTGTCGAGATTTAAACAATTTCAAAACACTATTAATGACCTTCAAGAGGCCTTTCATCTTTTGTAGTTTTCTTAGAACATTTTAATTTTATACCCAAATTTCGCATCTACTTTCCCTTTCTAAACTAAACTGCCATGATATTCGTGTTCATACTGTTGATTCTACCACGTTTATAATTGTTAAATTTCAGCAACTCCTGGTACCACAACCCAGAACGACTTTTCACACCCGATCGAAAAGATGGACATTCCAGCATACCAGACCGTGTCATCTACATAGTCGGCGCCTGGGAATGTTGAGAGAATTTGAACACTGTTCATTTATTCAAATAACTTTCAACCTTGTCAGATTAGTGAAAATATCTTGAGCTTTATCGACAATCGAAAAACTGCTGAGTTTGAATAATGATCTGTTCAGCTATTATTATCGGTGATCTTTAAAATTGAGTGAACATTTCGAAGCTAGAGTGTAAACTTGTTAGTTCTTCTACTTCGTGCATTCTTACATGAAAAGTCATTTCTTCGTGAAGAGCCACAAAATTTGAAAATTTGTTACAACTATTAACTGATTAACGTCATTATGAAAAGTATGTACATTGTGAACATTATGTACATCAATATTAAATTTTAGCACCGAAAAATTGTGTTTAATATATTTTCAAGATTAAATGTTTATACCAAATCGAAGAATTATTATCTACTAATAACGGAATGACTTATAATATTATTATCAATTGTAATCCTAAGGCCAAGGCTAAATTCAAAATATTATCGGTCGCGGTATTTGTTTCCAAAGAAAAACACCCTAACATGTTACAATAAATAACACAATTTCATTTTTGACGTAGCTCTAACCAAAGCCCTTTCGCTTGCAATACCGTAACGGCCTAATTTAAAGTTTCTAAACATAACATGTCAGCCTAAATTAAAATTAAAATGCAGTTTAATTTGCGACTAATAGTAATTGCAAACTGGTACGGTAGTGATACTGATATGTCACGTGGCCAAAAAACGGACAGTTTTTGCCAATAACTTGTGCCTTATAAGCGTATATTTGATATTATTGCACCACATATATAGCATGGTTATGATCATGACATATATGTATTATGTGCATGTGGTAATTTGGAAATTAAATCCGCGCCGGTGTCATGTCAAGTTAAATATTGAGAAACGCGAACGATTTTATTTGGTTTCAACTTGGCAGCAGCTTGCTGCTTGCAACAGTGCCGGGACCTATATATAATTATATAACAGCTGAGGCCTGAGCACAGCTGGGGATCTTATTATAAACGGGTGATACTGATCGTAAATATATTTGTTCCAACACGGCGCGCGTCCTGGTAGTGGTAAGTTGTTGGAGGACTTCGCCGCTTCGACGCGCCGCGCGAACTAGCATTCTTGCTTCTTATCGTTGCTCTGCTTCGCAGAGCAACGATCTCGATGGGTTGACATTGTCAACCAAGGTAAGTTGTAAACCTACAAGGCCGAGGGATCTCAGCTAAGCTTTTGTGTTCACACTTAGCTTCATATAAACAGTAAACACGATTATAAAAATTACTAGTGATTAAGCTAATAAGAGGATTGGCATTAAATGTATTATGCTAAACTAATATAATAAACCCCGCTTATGAAACCCCGCTTTTATGTACATGATAAAGCTAAAGCTTTATGAAGGATGCTCAAGGCAAAAAACCAGTAATATATTTGTCATTCAGCGTGATTACTATTTTTCTTTTTAAATGATATGCATAAAATCAAAAATTGGTGCGCCGCGCATATTCTAATTAACGCGCCGCGCGGTTATTTCGTATTTTAACTGATTAAATTTATTTGTACCGCACTGTACAATCAAGCGCTACATAAACAACCAGTTGTGATAAATCCTTTATATTTGTTTCCTTTGCTTTGAGTTTTCCGATTTACTTCTTCTCACTTTTTAAAATTTTACTTGGGGATCCAAGGCTTTGTGTTTATAGACACACTGATTTGGTTTATCGAAAATTTGGTTTTCAGCATAAACATAGTTTTCAGCAAAATATTGTAGGTTCCTAGCAAGTTCTTAACTTGTAACTTTCTGGAAATGAGCTCTTATTCTTTTAGCAACTTTAGATTAAATCACATAATCAATATGGTTTTGAAAGTTTAACAGGTTGTCTATCATCAAACCTAAATATTTCTGTGATTTAGTTACTTCTATGTGAAGACTGCTATTTTCCAAATCAAGAAGGATCAACAGGCTATCAAGATAAAGACACTTGTCGAATACTATGAATGATGATTTGGAAACATTTAGTCTCAGCGTGTTAATTCTTGTATCACGTCGTGACCCCCATTGTCGTTTCACTAAGTGTCGTTCACTAGTATCGTGGCTACGATACAGCCGGTTATTCGTGCAATTATTACTAAGATCATTTTTACCTGAGGACCCCAGGCTATTATGTTCATTAACAACGAATAGAGATTAGGCGGAATGACAGGCTGTAGGGACTACCGGTGGGTGATGAATAATTGAGAATCCAACAGGATCTTGTTCTCTTCATTGTGCTGATTCCGGGAAGCATTCGTTTTACGCTCTAATCCTATTAAAAATCGAGATATCGGTCATTGAAAAATGAGTAATTATAGGCCTGTCAATGATTGCAGCCCATTTAAGAGCTGATCAGTTGCAGCTACTTGTGCCATATAAGGGATAACTGAAGTCACGTGACCGCCAATCCTATCACGTGACCTTGATTCGTAAATCCTTGGTCACGTGATCACATTCGTAACGTGTCGAATGCTGACTAGGATATCTCGTGACGTCACCAGAGCTCAAGCTTCCTGACCAGGCCTTATATGGAATAATATAGTGTATCACGAGTAATTGGATCCAATTAAGATGAGCTGCGCAATTATCGCAGCATCTTGATCTGGTATCACCTTTTGAAACCCAGCAGGCAGCTGGGCCAGAGCTTTTAAAATAGAAGGATTTTTTGTTGATGAAAATCGGAGCGAAAATCATGTAACCCTATGTTTCCGAGGACGCCGAACACGATAAAACTGGTTATAATTATCATACTCAAGGGCAAATTGCTTTAAATTGCACTTGAATGTCATAGATGTTATTATAAGCTAAGCGCCTAAGCGGCTTATCGGGTGGCACCAGTCTCTCTGCCGAATCTCAGTAATTGTAAACAACGACGCTACTAGTTTTCAACTAATAATCGGGCTTATGAAGGACAGATCTCAAGTTCAGAAGACTTGTGCCTTACATTTAGAGTTAATGTTACATTATACCTTATATCTGGAGTTAACGTTACATTATACCTTACATCTAGAGTTAACATTACATTATATCTTACATCTAGAGTTAACGTTACATTATACCTTACATCTAGAGTTAACGTTACATTATACCTTTTATCTAGAGTTAACGTTACATTATACCTTACATCTAGAGTTAACGTTACATTATACCTTTTATCTAGAGTTAACGTTACATTATACCTTACATCTAGAGTTATAACGTTACATTATACCTTTTATCTAGAGTTAACGTTACATTATACCTTACATCTAGAGTTAACGTTACATTATACCTTACATCTAGAGTTAACGTTACATTATACCTTTTATCTAGAGTTAACGTTACATTATACCTTACATCTAGAGTTATAACGTTACATTATACCTTACATGTAGAGTTAACGTTACATTATACCTTACATCTAGAGTTAACGTTAGGTACATTATACCTTTCATCTAGAGTTAACGTTACCTTATACCTTACATCTAGAGTTAACGTTACATTATACCTTTCATCTAGAGTTAACGTTACATTATACCTTACATCTAGAGTTAACGTTACATTATACCTTTCATCTAGAGTTAACGTTACATTATACCTTACATCTCGAGTTATAACGTTACATTATACCTTACATCTAGAGTTAACGTTACATTATACATTCATATTATTTTCTTACCTTTCTTTTGACGTATTACCAAGAAATCACTGGACCTCGTTAGTCGATAAGGATCCAGTTAGTGACGAGCTATGAAGTAATCATTCGACCTCATTAATACTGATCCTGTCAGTTACGAACTATGAAGTTATTATTCGACCTCTTTAATCTTAACTTTACATGTGGCGTGGAAGGTAATGTTAACTCACGAATCACGATGTAAGGTATAATGTAACGTTAACGGTATAATGTAACGTTAACTCTAGATGTACGGTATAATGTAATTTTAACTCTAGATGTAATGTATAATGGAACGTTAACTCCATATATAAGGTATAATGTAACATTGACTCTAAATTTAAGGCACAAGTAAATGGTAACTCAAATTGTAAGATACAAGGTAATATTAACTACATATGCTAAGTAAAAGGTAAGGTTAACTTTAAATTTGAGGCAGAAGGCAATGAATAGTGTACAACAGAAGGGACCATTCTCATAACAGGAGCGTCAACTTATCCGTAAGTAGCCCTAGCACAATCCTTAAATACCGTTAGTTCATCCTTAAACCGTTATAAAGACTTGAATTACCGCTTATAGAAGTCCCGATACAATCCTTGGTAGTCCTTTTCGATATTGGTTGAAATCCGTATTCGTTAATCTTAAGCAAATATTTGAATAAATTTCTTTCGTCCTCTGAACTTGAGATCTTTCCTTCATAAGCCCGATTATTAGTTGAGAACTAGTAGCGTCGTTGTTTACAATTACTGAGATTCGGCAGAGAGACTGGTGCCACCCGATAAGCCGCTTAGCTTATAATAACATCTAGATGACATTCAAGTGCATTTTAAAGCAATTTGCCCTTGAGTATGATAATTATAACCAGTTTTATCGTGTTCGGCGTCCTCGGAAACATAGGGTTACATGATTTTCGCTCCGATTTTCATCAACAAAAAATCCTTCTATTTTAAAATCTCTGGCCCAGCTGCCTGCTGGGTTTCAAAAGGTGATACCAGATCGAGATGCTGCGATAATTGCGCAGCTCATCTTAATTGGATCCAATTACACATGATACACTATATTATTCCATATAAGGCCTGGTCAGGAAGCTTGAGCTCTGGTGACGTCACGAGATATCCTAGTCAGCATTCGACACGTTACGAATGTGATCACGTGACCAAGGATTTACGAATCAAGGTCACGTGATAGGATTGGCGGTCACGTGACTTCAGTTATCCCTTATATGGCACAAGTAGCTGCAACTGATCAGCTCTTAATTGGGCTGCAATCATTAACAGGCCTATAATTATTCATTTTTCAATGACCGATATCCCGATTTTTAATAGGATTAGAGCGTAAAACGAATGCTTCCCGGAATCAGCACAATGAAGAGAACAGCATCCTGTTGGATTCTCAATTATTCATCACCCACCGGTAGTCCCTAGACAGGCTGAGCGCGGCCCAGTAAAGATCATTTATGAATAGAATTGACTCTTGTATGATTGTTCCAACTGTGGCAAAATGTAGGTTGACTCTGTTTACATTTAAGTTATTTGGAGAGGTGTTTTTTCAGGTAAGTTTGAAGCATGTTTAATTATTTTCCATATACCTTTTAAATCCACTTTACTTTACTTTACTTTACAATTAAATTTGTTTATTTCTTCTGAAAAATTTTTATGTTTTCTGAATATGGGTCGTTCACATATTACGTAATCAATATTTTAGCAATTTTTACCCCCCTCCCCCCTTCCGTAATCAACCGTAATCAAAACCCAGCCCCCCCTCCTGACAGCAATATTACGTAATCATGGCCTGACCCCCCCTGCCCCCTTGACTTTTTTCCTAGAAAACACTTTTCTCTACGTTTCATGCTACCCTAATCAATAATCATGCTATCATGATGAGCCGAAATCATTGTTATGACAGCCGGCCAAGCACCTTCTAAACTACTTACTATTATAGCCGGATATTCGATCAATTTCTAAATTTTATCACTCAGAGTGAAATTGAGTGGAATTTGAATTAAAATATTGTCAAATTGTTATTATTCTAGAGGGTAAAAAAGAAAATTTTGATTACGTAATCAACGGCCAAACCCCCCCCCCCCCCCCCCCGTAATCAACCGTAAGCATTTGGAAACCCCCCTCCCCCTCGGCTGATTACGTAATATGTGAACGACCCCATAGCAATTTCTTTTTCCGTATTCCAGCCAACAGTTATTTAGAAGGCTCGAATAGAAAGTCGCTGTTACATTTAATCTGTTTAGCTGAACAGAAATTATCGCATGATTTCTGAATATGATGGTTGAGTCCATAGATATAGCATGGTCTACATTAGTATAATCTAGTTTAATATTGATGTAGTCAATGCAAGTACCGAGGAAATAGCTCAGAGCTTCGAGATAATTAAGGGATTGAACTCTTATTTAAAGGAACTTTTGGAATTTACAAGCTTAATTTTCTTTAAAATCGAGAGTACATTTGAGAATTAGAATTAGAATTAGAATTATAATCAAATTTACCCAGCAATACAAGAAGAATAGAAAATAATTTAAGAAGCTTCAATCTGCTGTCCAGGACATTCAAGTCAGTCGAAACTGTTAGCAAAACACCCTTCTATGGACATAAGGATTATAGCATGTAAAAGGTAAAACATAATAAGTAATAAATTAATGAGTGATAAAATAAGATATGATTTAACAGTGAACTGTGGGATTGAAGGTAACAATTAATGTTGAAAATTACATAGATGCCCACTTTGGAAATCGTAAGTAATATTATTTACAGTTAATAATAATAATAATATAATAATAATAATAATAAACCGAACACAACGCGAGGAAATACGCAAGGAGAAGTGGACTACTAAAGTGATGCACGGACAGTTTCCAAGGCAGATGACGGGTATAGCAGATCCGATAACCTCTTGGAACTGGCTCACTCAACAAGACTTGAAGAAGGAGACAGAAGGATTGTTGATAGCAGCCCAAGACCAAGCACTTAGGACTAACTATGTAAAGAATAAGATTGACAAAACACCTGGCTCTTCTCCACTCTGCAGACTCTGCAGAAATCATTATGAGACAATAGATCACATACTGAATGGGTGCCCAAAACTTTCACAGACAGAATATAAGTGTCGGCATGACAAAGTAGCTGCCGCATTGCACTGGAGTCTGTGCAAGGAATACGGCTTCCCACGCAGTAAAAAGTGGTACGAACACCGAGCAGAGAAGGTGTTGGAGAACGAAAAAGTCAAGCTATTGTGGGACTTTCACATCCAGTCAGACCACGTTATTGAGCACTGCAGACCGGATCTTCTCCTGGTAGACAAGGTAACCAACGCAGCAACCATCATCGACGTTGCAGTCCCAGGAGATACCCGGATCTTGGATAGAGAGCAAGATAAGATACTAGCTTATCAAGACCTAAAAAGAGAGATTAAGAAGAACTGGAATTTACGAAAGGTTACAATTGTCCCAGTGGTGGTAGGCGCTTTAGGAACTGTCACCATAAACTTTCGTAAGCACCTCGATGCAGTCCACTGCAATCTGAGCATCTCTAATCTTCAGAAGACAGCTCTGCTTGGATCAGCCAGAATTCTCAGGATGGTCTTGGACATCTAATTGAGTGTTTAATACACACTTCTTTCAGTTTTAGTTTATTCTGTATAACTGTAATATATACTTTTTGCCTGGTCCTCTTTTATCTCTTCCCTTGCTCCGCAAGCCCTGTCTCTTGTTTATACAACTTTTAACTCATATCAATGTACATATCGGAAAGTTATTGTATTTATTAAGTACTGTATTGAATTTACTCCCAGATTTGTGCAAAGATTATTTTCGTCTGGACTTTGTGATATACAATTGTTACAGTTATTTCTCTTGTTTTTCTTCCCTTGCTCTGCAAGCCCTGTTTCTTGTATAAAAATTGTGTTTAGTATTTCATATATTCTTGTAATTATTGTGATAATTTGTGATTCAGTTTTCAGTATTAGTAATAGGCGTTTGCTGAATTACTGTATCATACACTCTGTGGCCAGCTCTTATGTGTCCCATCTCTTGCCCTGCAAGCCCTGTTTCTTGTTTGTACAACATATTATAATTATGTAATAAACATTTATTGTAGTGTAGGATTGTTTGAATTTCTAAGTCATTTAACATACATTTTGTGTTTGTTTCTCCCGTTTTTCTTCCCTTGCGTTGCAAGCCCTGTCTCTTGTAAAAACAACCACTTTTGTAGATACACACAGTCTCTACGCCTTTATCCTCTGGTCCCTAGGGTCAGCTGACTCCGGGCCAGAGGAAAATTACCGATTGCCAAGGTTTGATGCCTAGGCAGTCGAGACCTCTTATTGAGACCCGATATAATAATAATAATAACTACTACATTTGTAGTAGTGTAGGATTGTTTGAATTTCTTTTTGCTATGTTTTATAATATTTATTTGTATAATTTGTGAGTGTTTCTCCCGCTTTTCTTCCCTTGCGCAGCAAGCCCTGTCTCTTGTAAAAACAACCTTGAAAGTTTTGTAGATACATATAGTTTCTACACCTTTATCCTCTGGTCCCTAGGGTCAGCTGATCCCGGGCCAGAGGAAAACTACCGACTGCCAAGGTCTGACGCCTAGGCAGTCGAGACCTCTTATTGAGACCCTTTATAATAATAATAACGCTTTATTTGTATACCGCTTAGGCCGTATAAGCGACCAAAGTCCAAAAAATGGAGTTGATACTGGCCAACAAAGCGGTGCAGATAAATTTACCTTAGTAGTCCCTTTTCTAATCAAAAATTCAAATTTATAAATTGTAGATTGATCTTAAAGTCCTGCGTCCATGACTACTGAATCACCAAAAATACTGTTCGCACATACAGGATAGGCTTGATGAAATAGATCGATGGGTCTTGAGAGCCTTCTTGAAAACATCTAGTCGAGAGATGGAGCGTAGTGAGTAGGGAAGTGTATTCCAGATTTTAGGAGCAGTGTGAGAGAAAGCACCAGCTGTAGCCCTCAGCCTTGATAAAGGAGGGCGTTCCAGTAGGAAGAAGTCATGGTCCATTCTGACATGATGTTTACTAGTGTAGGCCCCGTGACAGCATGGACATTTTTTCGTAATTCGCATCTTTTGGCGTTAAGCTTAACTCCAAAAGATGCGATTTGACGTCGTGTCAAATAATTTTGACTTGAAATAATCGAGATTTATCCCCAAATTGCATCTTTTGGCGCTAAGCTTAACGCCAAAAGATGCCGTTTGACGGATAAAGTCGTAAAATCTTAAAATGCGTTTTCAAATGGCATCTTTTTGAGTTAACCTTATCTTCAAAAGATGCGATTTGGGAAATACTTTCGCGCGAAATTTCAAAATTCTTCTTCCGAATTCTTGAATTGCTGCATTTTGCAAATCAGCTGATATTTGTAACTTTAAAAAATAACTGTAACTTATATATTTATACAGGTCCCCGGTTTAACAAGCATTCAGGATAGAACCAGCAGCGGTTAATGACACTGAAACAGAAATGAAACACAGTAAGAACAGCAGAAAGAGTGGAGTGCGATAAATATCTTCTTTTCTTCTGCAGTCTGCACTGGTTACTGATACTGATTACTGGAATCGGTTATCTAATCGAAGCCTAGCCTCTTTGTAACTGGCAAGTGATTTTCCGGATTCAATTTTCAGATAGTCCTTTTTAGCTAGTCGTGAATTTCGTCTTTACTCCATTGTATTTGTACACTGTATAGACAGTTCTAATTAAATGCAGAAGAGTTGTTCCCACCTCCCAATTACAATCATGACCAACTCGAAATTGAGGATTGTATGCGGTACTAATTTCTGTAAAATAAGCATGGTTCATGTCTTGCAAAAATATAGTCATCAAAATTTTAGTCCATGTAACACAGCAGTAGCGTGCATCCTAGAGCGCCAGCATTGAAGTCGATGATCGCATGTTCAACTCTGCGTACTGGCATGTTAATTTTTTTGCTCAGATCACTCTGAGCAAAATCATTTTTCATGATAAATATAACATAAACAAAACTGACATGGGCCTTGCTAGGTAACTCTGAGCAAAATCATTTTTCATGATAAATATAACATAAACAAAACTGACATGGGCCTTGCTAGGTAACTCGAGCAGCGGTAATTTGCCGATGAATTTTAGCAAGCTAGTGAATAAGTAGATAGTGTATTAAAGATACAAAGATAGTAATCTTGATTTGACCTGGATTTCAGCTATTTTGGGATGGGCGTGGCCCCTGGGAGTGGCCTGAATGGGTTGGGAGGTTGAAACTTGATTTTCTGATGGTTTGGGACAGGTACTAACTATTTAAACCCCTAAACCTGTTACAAATACCCCGGAACATAAATCCCCTACAGGGGTAAACATTTTAAAACTTGATTTGACCTGGATTTCAGCTATTTTGGGATGGGCGTGGCCCCTGGGATTGGCCTGAGTGGGTTGGGAGGTCAAAACTTGATTTTTTCTGATGGTTTGGGACAGGAACTAACTATTTAAACCCCTAAACCTGTTACAAATACCCCGGAACATAAATCCCCTACAGGGGTCAAATCCCCTACAAATCCCCTACAAAAATCAAGGAAACGTGCTAGTTGTATTAGATATGATTGAGAGACTATTTACCTTGATCCCTTCCTATTAGTAAGTATCACTATGCTATCTTTGTATCTTTAATACACTATCTACTTATTCACTAGCTTGCTAAAATTCATCGGCAAATTACCGCTGCTCGAGTTACCTAGCAAGGCCCATGTCAGTTTTGTTTATGTTATATTTGTAGATGATATGGAATTTGAATTTTATATAAATTTACACTATGTGGTTGGGGCATTTTGCATAGTAAATATGGTTACTACTCCTATATATCATATTATTTGATTGGTATTCGATTTCTGATTATTTCCCTAGGAATATGATTATTATATCTCAATTTGGCTTTAGGTAGGGTGCCCCGCTAAAAGAACTGGATTCTTCCAGGAAGCATCCCGTGCACAGAGCTTGGTCTACATATATATTAAATTATTAAACATTCATTCTGTATGTGCACGAAAATTTATTTCAATCAATTTATCATGAAAAATGATTTTGCTCAGAGTGATCTGAGCAAAAAAATTATCATGCCAGTACGCAGAGTTGAACATGCGATCGTCGGCTTCAATGCTGGCGCTCTAGGATGCACCCCACTGCTGTGTTACATGGACTAAAATTTTGATGACTATATTTTTGCAAGACATGAACCGTGCTTATTTTACAGAAATTAGTACCGCATACAATCCTCAATTTCGAGTTGGTCATGATTGTAATTGGGAGGTGGGAACAACTCTTCTGCATTTAATTAGAACTGTCTATACAGTGTACAAATACAATTGAGTAAATACAAAGGTTGTGTACACTATTGTGCTGATATGGAAAACTCCCGACTAGACTATATGTTGCTACAATTCATTCGGGGGCGTGGATGAGGTTTGTAATTTAGCTATTTAGGCATTTGCTTTTGACTTATTTATCTTCTGGACAGTTCTTGGAACATTGGAAGTTCAATAAAAATCAGTGCAGTAGAGGAGTAAACTTGCACGAGAGTTAAAATGGTACTATTATAATCTGTGTTGTCAGGTAAGATTTCAGTTTTAACTTTTTAGTGGCGTTTTTAATCAAGATAAACTCCCCTTAAATCGCATCTTTTAGAGCTAAGCTTAACTCAAAAAGATGCGTTTTAGCGACGCGTTATAAAATTCTCAAAATATTTGTAAAACCGCATCTTTTGGCGTTAAGCTTAACTCCAAAAGATGCGATTTAGCGACGCGTTATAAAATTTTCAAAATATTTCTTAAACCGCATCTTTTTGAGTTAACGACACGAATTACGATTCTAGCTTTCGGTTTAAAGCGCATCTTTTGGCGTTAAGACTAACTCCAAAAGATGCGAGTAAAGAATCGAAAGATGCACGTTCACGACTCGGGTTTTTTAAGAAATTTTAGCGTAGAAATGCATCTTTTGAGCTTAAGCAGGCATCTTTTTTGCGCCAAAGCGCAATGTCCAGGGTGTCACGGGGCCTTAGTGTCCCTAATTTTGACCATTGTCCTTAGATATTCAGGAGCACAATCGTTTATGCACTTGAAAACCAGTAACGCTATCTTGAATTTGATTCGCATTGCTACAGGTAAGAAGTGTAATTCAATCATATAGGGTGTGATGGGCTCCTGTCTCAACTTCCCGTGAAGTCCGAATATGAATCTCACAGCAGTATTCTGCACTTTTTGAAGTTTCTGGAGAAGTCTTTCAGAAAGGGCACCATAAGTAGCATTTCCATTGTCCAGAATGGAATGAATTGAAGCGTGTACCATTTGGATTTTGAGCTCCTTACTCAGTTTGGAACCTATTCTGCCAAGATTTTGCTGATTTACATAGCAAACTCTGACAACGTTGTTGATCTGTGCCTCTAAATTGAGATGGTTGTCAAAAATGAATCCCAGATTCTTTGCTGACTTGGTAGGTTTAATGGAGCATATGCTCAATGCTGTCAAGATTGAATTCAACTTGTTTTGGGGCTTTGGAGTTTGTAGATATCTCGATTATCTCACTTTTATTGTCGTTGAGTTTCAGGTAGTTCTCACTCATCCATGATTTGATGTGCTCGAAACATTCTTTCAATTTGCTCTTCATAGATTCAATGGCCATGTCTTTTTTAGGATCAAATGAGAAGTATATCTGAGTACCATCAGCATATAGATGGATTTGGAGACCATGCATACTTGCAATATCTTGTAGCTGTTTAGTGTAAAGGATGAAAAATATAGGACCAAGAATTGAGCCCTGAGGAACTCCAATCTCGAGGTCACAGAGAGAGGAATATTCACCCTTAACACCAACGATAAAGGATCGATTTGACAGGTAGCTTGCAACCCATTGAAGAATAATACCACTAAATCCATAGCTATGTTCGAGTCGTCTCAAAAGTCTTTTGTGATTGATGGTATCAAATGCAGCTGACAAGTCAAGAAGAAGAAGAACAGTATGACTCTTCTTGTCAACTTGGAGGAGTATATCATTATGTACCTTGAGCACTGCAGTTTCACAGCTCATGTTTTTCCGATAACCTGATTGATTTGCTG